ACTGCCAATCTGACCAAGACCTTCTTGAAGTATCAGAGTGTTGAGGACAACAGACCATCGGCAAGGAGTATAGGGTTATTGGGTATCGTAATGCTGGTAATGGCAGCTGCGGTTATAGTTGTGCCTGATGTGATGTTCCTTATGTACGCCGTGATGGGGAAGTGTACTAGGAAGAAAACTCGTTTTAAACACTAGACAGTCGATATGATAGAATAAAATTCACTTATGTTTCTTCACGCAATAATATAATAATGGTGGTGATAACAGAAATCACAAGGGACGCATTTGAAATGTCAAATCGATTGGTCATAGTTCATTGCTATGTCATTTGCTTTAGCCGGCGAAACAAGATGAGGATATGCACGTGTTCACGCCTCGTTCAGTCTAGTTCAAGAACAATAAAAAGTCAGTAGTCTCCACGAGCATCAGCGTCAAGCAGTCATTCCGACTTATCAACTACTAGTCGTATGAACTTTCATTTTCAGTTTGGGTTTTAATAGTTTTAAATACATGCTAAACAAAACTGTTATTTCATTATTGAGTATAATTTCTAAACAAACACACACAAACACACACACACCTTTTGTCAATATTGGTTTATAACTCTTCATACTGTACAAGTAACATATGTGTCGACAGACCACTTGCTGACTGCGTTGGACTCTTTGAACTCAAGGAAATAGTTCTGCGGTGGAAAAGGTCTCCGAAGTGTAAAATAGATAACAACATTGTCAGGCGAACACGTTCAACATTAAAGATTGCATGAAAATAGTTGGTTATTAACACGTGTGTTGTTTTTAATCGGAAATGGAAACAGATAAGTCAATACCAAAACAATGCAACTGCAAGAATATTATTGATCCCATTACAATTATTGATATTGCATTGACATTGCAAGTACAAACGATTGGAATAAATAAAGTTTATGTCGATACAGGAATATTGACAAATAATAACTATGGGTGGTTTTGACTTTGAGTCTTTGGGAAACAGAGCTGAGACATCCATTCCTTATAATAAAGACAAGAGTCCATAGTAATATTCCAACCTTATCACGAGCACGTGATAGGGAATCACCTTGAAACGGTTCGTGAAATCGACATAGCAAACATGAAGGTAAAAAAAACCTTGTAAAGTAACAAAAATGGCTGTTAATTCTATAAAGTGTCTGTTTTCGAGCACTTGTGCATACGCAACGCTAACGCAGTATTCCTCCGGATAACCCAAGTTGCATGTGAGGCTCCAGAAAGTTAAGTCATTTGACTTATCCCATCGGGTACCCCTTAACTGCTGGGCAATTCATGAGTAAATGCACTTCCCTAATGCGGAACCACATGTGTCACGTGTAAACTGAAATCCTAGAAACCCTCAGGAGTGAAGCTGTCAAACACGGTCACCCATCCAAGGACTGTCCGCGACCAACTTTGCCTAACTTCAAACTGATTTGTGACCTGGGCTCTACGAACAGGACCACAAACAACCACAACAGTTAATCACTTCATATGGATCCAGTTTTTGAAAGCTTTGCAAAGAACTTGAATGTTGTAACATTGATTAACCATGGGTTTTAGCAATTGCTTGTACGATCGACCGTTATAACAATCACTTTAATTAACCGCAATATTCTTCCTGGTTTAATGTGGTATTTACGTGCCATTGTGTTTGGCAAATCTTTTTTGTTCTCTCAAATAAAAATACGACACTGTCAAGCTGAGAACCAGTGCTGAAGGCGGTTTTAAAGGTACGCTTCACGCATGTTGATTCATAATTCCATAACCATCCCCGATGGCAAATCAACAAGGTTAAACATAAACAGCATTTGAGGGTGACAAATATCCATTGGTTTTCAGGTAAGCAGCACTGGGATTGTATCTGGACATAAACTAGTGCCCAAATGTCCTTAGTATTGATTGGGGGCGGTGGGGTAGCCTAGTGGTTAAAGCGTTGGCTCGTCACGCCGAAGACCCGGGTTCGAATCCCCAAATGGGTACAATGTGTGCAGCCCATTTCTGGTGTCCCTCACCGTGATGTTGCTGGAATATTGCTAAAAGCGGCGTAAAACCAAACTCAGTCAGTCAGTAGTATTGATTGTTCATATACTATAAGGTCGTATTCATGTTCCATCTGGAATGTTTCCACACAAGACCATCGGATATTCTCGATATTGATCACATGTTCCAGGAGCTATTCGGGTCATAACTTCTGAGAAAGGAGCCTACTAAATGATGGTGTAGTTAAACTGTCTTACTAGCAATTGCTGTCTAAAGTAGGTCTGTATAGGAGAGAACTGCTATCATGTCTGCATCATTGTTTCACCTCCTCTGTCAGAAACTTCATTCACACTGAATTAAAGGTTTAGGGACATTTGACACACAGTACATTGTCTATGTCACGATTTACTTCCTGTATAAAAGGAGAGAATAATTCCTTAATGTCTGAAATGTGACGAAGTCACCAACGGAGCTATGTACAGGCGTCAAATATTGCTTGAAGTTGAAAGGAAATATGCCAGAAGTTAAACTGAGAGAGAGAGTTTCTTTCGGCGTCCAGTGTATGTTTCTATCCCTGTACATATTGTTTGTTTTACTTTTGCATGTAAGCACTGTAAGTAGGACAGGGTTTCACTCAGTTGGAATAACTTGTACCCAATCCATTCCCTTGAATAAATATGTTTAAATCAAATCAAATCAAAACAGGCGTCAAATATTGCTTGCCCCCCGATTTTCTAGAAAGTTAACCTGAGAGAGAGTTTGTTCTCCATTACATTTAAATTAAAACTACCTATGTAAAGGGTACATGCACGAAAGTCAAGGCTTTAGGTTCAATTACAAGTTTTACATTTATATCTGTGATATTCTAGTTGTTTTAACTGTCTTTCGTTGACAGTATTTTGGTGTGTTTTTTATAGTTCTCCATTATTGATCAAATCCGGGTTAGGATTGGTCTTTAGTAACCCATTATTGTCGTAAGAGGCAACTAACGGGATCGGGTGGTCAGGCTCAACTTGGTTGACACATGTCATCGGTTCCCAATTGCGTAGATCGATGGTCATGATGTTGATCACTGGATTGTCTAGTCCAGACTCGATTATTTCCAGACCGCCGCCATATAGCTGGAATATTGCTGAGTGCGGCGTTAAACTAAACTCACTCACTCACTCCATTATTGATCACGAATCTATAGCTTGTTTTATGGCTTAAATACGGCCGATGTGACTTAAAATCTAAACTCACTAACTAACCGGAGGAAATGAATACTCTCTACTCTCTTCCAGTTTCATCTCTTGATCCCCAGTAAGGTGGTCAACCTTTGGTTGTTGGTGGTTGATAGCCTAGTTTTAATTGGTACGAATGCATCTATTGGATCTACTCTCTTCTTATTTTAATTATAGTCAGGTTAGTTTTATTTTCAAAACTGTGATATATACACCTATTTTACTGTCCTTTGTCGACAGATATCTTAAAATGATTACCTTGTTTTCATCGCTATATGGCTGTAATATTGCCGACGCGATGTAAAATTTTAACTCACTCACTCACTCATTCCATTTACATCTAATCCTATCATGTTATAATGTGCACAACACCGTCTGTTCTGAAGACCTATAGATCAGTCCTATGAGGGATCATAAATGGGACATATTTGTCACTCGAACCGGCGATCTCTGCACTCTCAACGCTACGTCCACGTGACTAAGCTGATATATCAAACCGACCAGATACCAGTACGTCTTCACCATTGATGGGTTATAAAAACGACAAAAAGACACCGAGAACCTGCTTAGTAAAGTAAACCTGTAGAGGAGGGGCATTTGAAGGGGCGTCCCAATTTCATAGTTCCAGGGCGCATATGCTCAGTCAAGACCAAAGGGAAGGCTTTTAACCAAATTATAGAGCGCGATAAATGTCTGAAACAACAGACTTCATGTTCTCAAGGTTCATTACTCACAATGAACTCTGACTGTGGCAGAAAAACCTTTGGATTTTCTCAAGTGTAGTAGACCCGTGAAGGTCCGGGTTGTAATATTGATCTTCAGCAACCCATGCTTGTCGTAAGAGGCGACTAACGGGATTGGGTGGTCAGGCTCGCTGACTTGGTTGACACAAGTCATCAGTTCCCATTCGCGTAGATCGATGTTCATGCTGTTGATCACTGGATTGCCTGGTCCAGATTCGATCATTTACAGACCGCCGTCATGTAGCTGGAATATTGCTGAGTGCGGCGTAAAACTAAATTCACTCACTCACTCAAGTGTAGTAGCATGAACTTTACGAAACGCACATAAAATATATCTTGCTGGAGTACATGGAAGAGATTCTCAAAAAGGCAGTAGTTTGTCTGCGGCAGTTCTGGGGCATTGTGGTGTTGCGTTCGACGTACCAGAAAATTATTATCGCAGGAATCCAAGATTCGCTCTAATGATGTTTCTTGGATCATTGCCATCATACCTTTGTTCACTGGGTTTACTAAACTGGAGAACGGCTAAGACTGGCATCACTTTGCGCTGTCCTCCGAGAGTGAGTTAGTGAGTGAGATGCCGCTTTGAACAGTGTTGCAGTGGCATCACGTTGTGTGACACTTAATGTTAACACCGGGGTGACACCAGAAATGGGCTTCACACATTGTATCCACGTGGGGAATCAACCCGGGTCTTTGGCGTGACGAGCGAACGCTTTAACCACTAGGCTACCCCACCGCCTCCTTACTGGAAGAATGTCCGTGTGATTCGGGTCCTAGATGTCACCACTTGAACCGTTGACACTATTGGGGCACCTCGGTTACGCAACTTACACAGATTGCAAACACGAAGAGGCGACTGACGGATCGGTTAGGCAGGATTGCTGACTTGGTTGATACATGTCTACGTATCCCAATCTCGCTGATCGAGGTTCATTATATTAACCACTGGACTGCGGAATCCAGACACGATTATTTACAGGGTATCGTCATATAGCAGGACATCCAATGAGTGTCCCATTAAACAACAACAAACAAACAAATCGTTTGAAATATGCATGCTTTATGCACATTTACCGTATAACCTTCTGTAGTCTTCTTGAAACCCTTGGACCAGAGTTCAAATCCTGACATGGTCACAATGTATAGCTCCCAGAAGTTGCGATGGTGAGTGTGAGTGAGTGAGCGAGTGAGGTTTTACGCCGCTTAGCAATATTTCAGGTATATCGCGGTGGGGTACACAGAAATGGGCTTCACGCACGGTATGTGTGTAGGGTATCGAACCCGAGATTTTTGTGGACACGGGCGAACGCTTTAAATACTTGGTTACCCCTCCGATGCGTTAAAAAACTCTATAAACTCGCTCACTACTCCTACTAAGGGTTACAATATGTAACATGTTTTGTTGATACGTCGCCGTGGTACGGCTGGTTGGTACCCAAATACAGCGATACTCACTGACTTAATTGTTGTCTCACGAAACAAGCGATGAAGTGCACTGCAGGATGACACATCAATCCTGCAGTGGACGGAGCGATTACATTTCTTTATCAAGCATAACTCTACTGTCACAGTCATGTTGATAAGACATCCAGTAACTCCACGCCAGCCCATTCAGGCTACGTGGGACACGTATAGATATATACACTATATTTACATTGTTGATGTAGCTCAGCTATATTGTCATGATATGTTTGAGATCTAATCTCCACACACATTCATTACCACACAAGTCAAACGCCCCTTGTGCTTCATAAAGGAACCTCACAACATAAGAATAAACCTGGCAAGAAAGCATTGCACACAGTACATTGTTTCACCATCATCACCGTGGATGTACTCCACGAATCACAATACATCACAGTCTTCACTTCCTGGTAGCTCCAGCTCATCAGCTCACTTGATGTATTCAAGAATAAGAATATACATATCACAGTGCTCCTTTATTGGCAGCTGTACCTCATACCACACCGTTTCCATAGCAACCCAGCTTTGTTTATCTGTCCAGCCTCCGGCACTCCTTTAAGAACTCCTCCAAGGTCCGGTGTTTGTATTCCTCCCATTGGAGGTTAGCGTCCAACCGGTCCACGAGCTCCTCTTCGGACGGGAAAGGTTTTGCCTATATAATTTAACACAATGAATTAACTGTAACACCTATTTCTGGTTTTATCCTCTTTGTAACAAAGTGCTCGAAACACGTCAACTGAACACAATATTTTCGAACACTCAAAATGTTTTATTTTCTATTAGTTATGTCGACTGGTCAATTGAAGCCATATGATGTCTTGCATCACCGTCGGGGACAACATAATATGGCGTCATCCACATTGAATGACGTCACAACATGATAACCATTTGTAATGTGTGGGTTGTGTTTTGTTATAAAGCTGTTCTCAGAGCAAAGAATACAACAGGACAAAAGTGCACTCAATGTTCATGTAAACTGATGGTGTGTTGGAAACAACATAAATAGACAACTCCCTAATTAGATCCTTTTGTGAACGAAAGTCAAATTTGTCACTTTAAAATGTTAACCAAAAATATATCTATCTGTTCATATAGAGTTAAATAAATACATTTTGATCGTAAATCCTAATGACATCACTGGGACCACTCCGCCTTTCATTTCCAACACAAATAAGCTTCGTACGCAAGGTGTAGTACTACCGGTTACGGTGGGCCTGATATAGCTTAGAAAATGTATCTTCAGTTAAACTTAAAACGTCTCAGAAGACTTATCGTTTTGTTTTGGGTATTTTTTAAATCTGGACGCTCCTATTTCTCAGTATTTGTACAATGCTCTTCTTTAAGTGTAAGGTTTTACCTTCAATCGGATCAATCCGTAGATCGCATCATCGCAATGCTTCATGAAGAACTTTTTATTAAGCTGTAGAATTTCACACTCCCCGCTTACCTGAAACAATACAAAATACATCAAAGCAAATAAATTCATTGATCAATTTCGTAAGGAAGATTTACTGAATGGTAAATGACATGTTATGCTCGGCTCCTTTCTTGTCGGGTCCTTTAGACTTGCCAGTATCCGATCGTCGTAGTTTCGAATCCAAGCTTTTCCTGAAGTAGGTCTTGACATTTGCCAGCAACATACAATGTGTATATATGTTCATGCTCAAGTAAACGTGTGTACGTTTGTCCGTTTGTTGTATAACGCCTCACTCACAATATTACAGCTATATACTGTCGTGAATAATCGTGTCTAGACCAGCCAATCCAACAGCAGGAGCATCGGTCTGTGCAACTGGGATACGATGGTGTGTGACAACCACGTCACCACCCTGACTACCCGATCCCGTTAGTCGCCTCTTATGATATGCTCGGGTGATGAAGATCTAACCCAGATCTTCACAGGTGAAAGTGTTACGACTGCATCACATTCGGGTGGTCTCTCTCATAACTATAAGTAGACATGATTGATAACACTGACTTTCCAAGGGTGATACTATTTCAATACATACAATTCATTCAAAGTTTATTCACTTCATTTTCTTCTCGAATACAATGATCTCATTGTATACGAGTGCGTATAGACTATTCTGGTATTTGATGTTTTAAACAATGGTTCCTTAACCATACGTCTTGCAATCTCTTAGTCACATTATTGGTGAAGCTTAAAATACATGTTATGAAAAAAATGTATTGACGTTTTGTAAATATGAGCAACTGTATGTAACTCACTAAACTGACTGCGGGTCCTCTCTCCTCTGCATCCAGACATGCCCGCAAACCCTGGAAACATGAACAAAGCCATTCATTTCCGCATCACACACATGTGCATAAGTATAAGTATATTAGTGTACGTCAGTACGAGATGGGTGAATGAGTGAATGAGTGGGTGTGTTTACTTTTACGCCGCACTCAGAAATATTCCAGCTATATGGCGGCGCGGTACTAGATCTAAAATGCAGTATCATCAGAATTGCTAAATAACATAATGGAGTTCAAATGGAGATAATATTATATAAGTAATATGCAAAATCGTCACCGATCAAATTCGGGAGAACGTGGACTGATGTTTGTTAGAGGTAAATATTGTCTTCGGTTAACCAGCTAGACCATCCTTTTCTCTTAAAAAATGTGAGTAGCAGGTATTAATTTCACGAAACATTATGACCAGCTGAGAATATGATCATCGACTATTTTTTTCAAATCCGAGGCAAAACTGTTTGCTCGCAAAACAAGACAGTATGATGAAATACAAGACATGACTGAAATAAATAACAATACATATTCTTGTAAACATGCCCCAATACACTTGCACACGCACACGCACACGCACACGCACACGCGCACGCCTGCATCGTACTGAGGGGACCGTTTCTATGAATACATAATAATAACGTACTTTGGTGAAGTGGTTTTCATTAACAATCCAGTGGTCAACAGCATGGGCATCGTTCTATGCAATTGGGATACGATGACATAGCAGTGGTGACCTGGTTAACACATGTCATCGTATCCCAATTGCGTAGAACGATACTCATGCCAATGATCACTGGATTGCTTGGACCAACTTCAATTATTTACAGACCGGCGTCATATTGCTGGCGTTAAACAACATCCAGCACAAATCAGAATCATTGGCCTTAACATACTACACGTACAAACACTTGTCCTGGATGCAGAGTCTCCACTTGGACGAAGGCTGGCAGAGTTGTCTTTCCTATCGTTATTGGGCCGGACTTAGAAGAACTCCGACCACTTGCTTGTGAGCGGCATGTGCTTAATTTACGTCCCATGCCCAGGGACATTCTGGACTGTCTCCTGGAATCTTGCCCTTTAGTTGTTCCATTGCTCATCGCTGTTCTTTCTTGCCTGACCTTGTCCCTAAGGTCAATGACCTCGACCCCATCTTCTAAATGATCTTGATCTTGATCTTTACTGTCACCCTCGTCACTGTCGTTGCCTCCACCAACAACGATCTGAGGTAGTTTCTCTTTGTTTTCTGGTCCACTGGCAACAGGCTGCGTGTAATTGTTGACTAGGGTGTTATCGTCTGTTTCTCTGCAAGGGGGCGTGGCTGGCAGACTGAGAAAGTCGCGGTAGGTACCTCCACCTGAACGCCGCCCTGTCGGGGGTGCGGACATTGCCCCGTCCCGGCGACCTGGGTGGTACGAGGAGGGTCTGTACGATGACTTAACTGAAACAGAAACAAAATATCCATGTGAGCTAATTATATTATTGGATGAAGGAACGATCTCCACCAGTGGTATACCCCCAAGCCAAAGTGGTCATAGAGGGAAAAGTGTAAAGGTTTTGATAAGTATTGCTTGAAAATAATGGTTGTTGCCTCTGGATTAGAGATATCGAGTTTGAAAGATGTATTAAAGCAACCAAGAAAGGGAACACCTATAAAGTACATCAGCAAATCCATTGATCTTGCATTTCTTTTAATCAAGACACTTAAGCTAAATGTAAGACTGAAAACCAGTGTAATAGTGACGTTGACATCTACCCCTGAATTACCACTCTTAGGATAGTGTCTAAAATGACCGTATAAAGGACGCTGTCGTACAAGGCGATTGAGTGAGTGAGTTTAGTTTTACGCCGCTTTTAGCAATATTCCAGCAATATTACGGTGGCGACACCAGAAATGGGCTTCACATATTGCACCCATGTGGGGAATCGAACCAGGGTCTTCTGCGTGCGAGCGAACGCTTTAACCACTAGGATACATCAAATCCTCCAAAAGGCGATTAAAAGGTTAAGGTAGTCAAGTTTGTTGGCTGACCGTGTGTCATTTTGTCCAGACGGAGTGCGCGTTATTTAATATGCTGGTTTCCCCCTTTACTTCCCAGCCACATGGCTGTGTCGAAAATGAAGGTGCTTATGTAAAATCCTTCGAATTGTGTAAGGTTCGATACAACCGAAAAATCATGAGTAAAGAAAGCATGCGGAGGGAACAAGCGTTTACTTCGAGATAACCATACATTCGACACAGTGGCGTTTGAGTGTAACTGGAATATTGCTGTGTGCAATGTTACGGAAGAAATTATAGAAACAAAACGTGAAAAACATGACCACAATAAAACGTTGGCAAATGTGGGACAAGAACCAGAAATATGTAAATATGGCTCTCTATCTGCAATGATGTCGAGCGTCGTGTAACGTATCTTACACGGGAATGTGATTCGGATTGATCCGACCACTTCTGTTATGTATTGTATCAGCTAACACGTACGTTTCTTGTGTTCAACACAACGACTGCCAGAATGTTGACATACTATTTGAAACATACCCACCGCAATTTCACATCGCTATTTAATGATGTAAGACGCCATTTATTGTCCAACTGAAATACATCGAAGGGCAATTTGGGAAATATGAGGGAAGTTGATACATGATTATATGAAGTATTCTTAAGGATTCTTAAGCTCACATGCACAAGGCATACCTGCAGTACATTTGAGTGTCCGGTGAGATAAATCGTTGTCGAATGGTCCTTCAGGTGACATGGGTTCGTGTACTCTCTATGATAACTTCTGTTCCACATTCGGCTATAAATGAGCGGATACGTCAGATTAGACCTGGCCATTATTCGCGCATATTAACCACCTTGTGCTAACCATTTTTAACATAATTCATTTCTCCAAGTGTCAAGTTTCTTTTTTGGGGGGTCGGGGGTGTTGGGTGGTGTTCAGTATACATTAATTGTTTTCAGGTGACTAGTCCTGAAGTTTGTCATTTTGTCGCTGGCGTTCATTCTTAATCGGTCTGTTTTCATACACCTGTTAAGATCCGGGTTAGAATTTGTCTTATCGTATGTTTGTCGTAAGAGGCAACTAACGGGATCGGTTGGTCAGACTCGCTAACTTGGTTGACACGCGTCATCATATCCCAGTTGTGTAAATCGATGATCCTAATAATGATCATTGGATTGTCTGGTTCAGACTCGAGCATTTACAGCCCGCCGCCATATAGCTCGAACATTGCTGAGTGTGGAATAAAGCAACAAGCAAACAATCGATCAAAATATTGTGAACGAGCCTCACTATAGTCACGATCTTCTATGAAGTTGAGTATCTGCTTCTTCTTGTGGAATGGTGACTGTGCTGCCAGGGCGGATGCCACCTTCCTCCTCCTGGCCTTCAGGTCGATGTTGTCAGGCTGGAGATACTTCAACACTCTTGCCTCTCCCTGCAGCGTCACAAGAAGGGGTGAATCAAGATCAAGTCAGGCACATCGCCCCACTGCTGGTTCATGCAATCACATCAATTATTATTTTAGAACTGTGTGACAATCATATTAGTGTCATAATCATGTTCACCGTAATTTCCGGCATTGTTGACATTCACGTTTTTGTTAATTCCTTTCAGACAGAAAGTACATTTTGAATATGATGATAATATTTCAATTTCTGCTATGTTTCTATTTTATTAAGAGTAAAATGTGCTCCAGTTATTATTGTAATTCGCGGAAATCAGTTTTCAAAGCATATATTACAACCTACCACAGACAAAATGACTGGTGCTTTATTAATGCTCATGTACACGTGTTAGAATTGGTGTCAGTTTGCCCCGAATGGACATACTATAAGGTTCATTTCAATGGGGACATATTTCAGCTGACATGAATAAATCTTTGGTGACAATGTTCATCCAGTAGCTGATACAATAACCACGTTACGACAGCTTATCTCTTACATTACATTATCTTTTTAGCAACAAAGGCCATATTTGGAGTCAATAACCTGCCAACTACCATAGCTACTCTTAACGTTAGCACTTCTATTACCAAACCTTTTCTTCTGCTGCTGCCAAGCTGCTTGTGTGCTAGATAATGATGGCCACGGGAACACTGAGAGCTTGAGATGGAAATTGTAAACGCGTACATAGTTCCAGTATGATAAATCAGCGACACAATCATTTGATAATGACGAAATAATTAGCACCACTGTGTATTGGCTGGTAACGATCTATTATATACATCTTCTTATATCTCTACTTCTACCTCTTCTTCTCCTTCTCCTTATTGTTATTATTAAAATTCTCAAATACATGTATCTTACCGATTTGATGACGTAGATCCAATCGAGGTCGTTGCTGTCTCGTGCAATTAACCTCCCGTATCTGTCAACACCAAGGTTTGATGTGAGATCAATAGTATGTCAATCAAGGTAATCGACTCCCTCTATGTACTGCTGTAGTATTGACACCGGGGCTGAAACACTTGATTAATGTTCTAAGATCAATACCACCTCTTTTATGGAAGGATTTACAACATGATGAGTTTGCTATAACAGCCCTGGACGTAGAACACCCCCTTGCGTGTCTCCACTGTGTTTCGAGTCAAGATCACAAAGACCAATGTGAATGAATAGGAAATGGGTAGTCACAGGCGACTACCGCCATCACTCCCTCGTAGTCGATTGTGTCGACATACACTGAGTTGAATAACGCCATTACTCGCAGAAAAGTCGTTACTGCCGAACTCGATCGAAAACCAGAACCGATATGAATCGAGTTTCAAACGTTATCGATAAGGCAGTCAGAATTAATTTGCATCAGCACGAGGAGAAAAAGGAAAAACAGAACCAATGTGATCCTTGTGAGATTCTTGTTTTATGTATCAAATGGTATCATAATTCATTTTTGTAAACATTTGTTTACACTTTTATACCTGCAGATATCATGATGTGATATTTTACTATGCGATGAAATATTATAAATCTATGTATGTGTCACAATGAAACCTTCCGATCCGTTTTGTTTTGGGCGATATATTTAAATAATGTTTTTCTTCACAACATTCTACTGAGGTTGGCGCTGTGTGGCAATAAAAGTGATACCAAAGCTGTCATTATGCCGTATTTGCATGCACACATTGATTATAATGATAATAAAGTAGCATAACTGTTCAAAATATGAATATTGGCCAATCCAAACAGCCCTATTTTCTTCAGGACTGACGTGATAGATTCAATCAGGCAGCATGTTTTAGTCATTAGTAACCGCTGACGGTGATTTCAGACGATATGTGGGGGATCATTTTATCATAGCCCCAAACGTATTTATGTCTATGTGATTCCCAGAAAGAAAACTACTTCCGGGTGTATGACTGATACGCCGACCCATTTGGGCGTTGTCGTAAAATGTCAACACAGATATGTAGGGTTACAGGTATCATCAATAATTCACAGGTTGGTACACTACAATTCTCTATCACACATCAATACGGCCTCTTTGCAGTGTTGTCACTATTTTTTTACCAGTGAGTCAAGTGAGTTCGGTTCCAAGGAGAGCGAAACCAATGAATGTTTAGACTAATAAGCGCTCATATTATTCAAGCGGCAATATTGTTCGTGTGAAATAGACGCGCGTCCCAATGTAACCACAATTTATTGAGGAGCGGAGTGTACACAAAAACAAGTGTATTGAACGTCCTTTCCTCAGAAAAGTACAACAGTCGAACATTAGAAAGAAACCCTACTGAGCTTACTTGTATCTTAGAGCACTCCACATCCCAGGGTTCTCTGCAAGCCGAGCCATGGGGAAATGTTGGAACACAATGTGTTGCCTACAAAGAATAAAAAATATACGTTGTAATCTGACATGTTGAAAAGACAACGTTGAATCTGTATGATTGACAATGTCGTTATATCTTTTCAATATATAACGTTGCCCACAAGTGTGCAGGTTTCGCTATTAATAATCGAGTCGGAATCACGAGAAACAACGTTGGTACGACTTTACACAATCTATCAATAAGATAGACAAGTCAATCAGATAGACAACTTGATTCTCCTTTTAATCGATCATTACAAGTATCATTCGCTCGGAACCGATTTCGACCCCCACGCGATAGGCTATTGACACACTCATTCCAAATGTCGTAAAAATGGTACTTTTTGTTTCCCTGCCTGGAACGTGTCAACAAGGGGACAAGACAAGGAGTACTGACTGGAATTCAGTGCACGATGCATGAGGTCCATGTTAGCATCGTATCTAGGTTTGGTGCACTATGACACCCTTGTGCATTCACAGGCTTGACATCGTTTGTGTAATACGCTTTGACGCGACATCAAAACTCAGTCTCTCCTCACATCTCCTACTCTGCAGCCAGTAGCAATCTTTAACAAAGCACGTTTACTTGCAGCACTGTTCTGTGTACAGAATAACATTGTGCCAGGACAGAAAACGAGTGATACTAACGCTTCTTACGAAATTAATGAAATACATTAAATTACTTGACCAATCTAGTCTTAGATGCAGGGAATTTTTGTTACACCTTTTAAATTCGTTACTTACTTGCATATTTCGAGGTTCTTGGGGTTGCTAGAATCCTCTGACATGTCGAAAATCTTCTTGTAGTCCTGGAAACAAGATGTCACTGCGCTATTCAGGGTAAAATCAATATATAGTGGGGAGTATCATGTTCACATACACATGCATTATTAAACCCACACGACTGCAAACATAAGCTTGACTGATGTGTCAACATTGAATGGACAGAGCAGTCACCTGACCAGGTATCCGTCGCGTCATACAGTCCGAATGATGTGTACGTGTGTCATATGGAATGCACGTCTTAAAATAATTAATACTTAATTCCTTCGTTGTGGCGCTGAATCTGGATCAGATTAGATTACATTCATAGACTGGGCAAAATATTTACCTTTATGCGCGTATATCAAATTATGAAATACCAGCGAGATAAACCGCGCTATGTATTCCCCGCGCCGCTGTGTCGCACGGCCGTGAGTCCTCGGCTTGTGAAATGTACATGCAATATACATGAAATGTAGCTTTATTCACAGACCGCTATCAATCACACAAGCACGGATCATTACCCAGTCACCCACGGTCCCATGTGGATCATAGCGGTAAGTCAATGGACAACGACAACATGTCAATCAAACAATAGTGTGGCATATAAATGAGGCTTCTCAACGCCATGACACGGTGTACATTTCAGCATAAATATGCATCGACACTGTATGGCTGTAATTCATAGTTATCACCTATTGTGTTATTTGAATAAATAAACGTTTCAGGGAAGACTGCTTGAAAAACTGACGAACCAATTTCTAATAACATCGTAGATGTATATTACTATTGCTTTTTCATATTTTTTTCCATCAGTCGTAACCTGTTTTCTTTGTCCTTTATTTAACAATTCAGTTACACATATTCTTGTTCATACCCAATGCAACTTTGAATGTATACACTAAACGCCAAAAGAATCGTTACCCTCCTACCTTTCTGAATTACCTAAAAACTATTAAAGATATGTTAGAATTGGTATTAGTTATAGGAAAGTTTAACAACACAGCTTCATGTAAATCGCGAAAAATAATTCTCAAATGCATTCATATTTAGGTGAAATGCATCTTTCTCAGAAGAGTTAAATTGTCCTATTTTCCTCCATGCCGAAATAAACCAATAGCAGTGATTTAGATGTCCAAAAGAAAGGTTGAAATAAAATTCTGCTTTGGGACAAAGATAAACCATTTAAAGTCACCATTTTTTCAACTATTAAAACAAAAACAACTGTTGTAGAGTGTGTAATATTGTAAAGTAATCATATGATTTCCTATGATTTCAGTCTTCTAAAACATTTTCTGCTGATTTGCATTAGTGAAAACAAGTAAAACGTGTTTTTGATATTGTTAAAAAGTGTTTAGGAACAGCTACAATAATCTTTGTTGACATTTTTGCTTGCAAAGTAACATTTTTCCATTTTCTGTTTACACATAGCAATATCAATCGCCAAAACACAGCAATACTCAAACAGTATTTGCATCCATTTCACATGTAGACAGATTCTATAGGATATGAAGAGAGCCTAGCATACATGATATGATACACAAGTACGAGCAATATGCCACGATTAACAGCTGAAGAGAGAGAACGAGCCACTGGGATGGTGCAGGTGGGGTCGACATACAATGCTGTTGCCAACGCCCTCGGATGCCCCCGTATCACGGTTATAAGATGTATTCAGGGTTTCAGATAGAATGGGGTCACCGTAGACAGACCAAGAAGTGGACGTCCACGCATCACAACGCCAGCTGAAGATAGGTACCTCCGTCATTAAGGAAGGAGGGTAACGTATCATTTGGCGTTTAGTGTATTAGGTACGGATGGAATATTTATGTCAGTACTATTGTTGTTGTCGCTCACGATCTGATACATATTGCTGTTAGGGTTGAAAAGATGCTCGTTACGTTGTATGCATAGTCTTATAAATGGGGCGTGGACATCATTGAAGATAGTAAAATAATTGTTGTTGTTTTTTCAAATAGGAGGTCCCCTGTCAAATTATAAACAAATCAGTTTTTAGTGGTAACCCTATGGAAGCAGTTAATAGCATAGATATACCTAGAACTCATCATAATCCCCAAACTGATATCAATGGATTTTTCATATTTAAAAGAGAGATTGTACCTATTTTTTACATATGGAGATGAAATTGGGGATCGGAAAACAGAAAGTGCACCGAAATTGTCCATAGAAGGTTCTGTTAATTTGTACTTCATTTCGGGAATAGGTCATCTTATGAAGTTGATTGTGGAAATCATCCTTTTTCATGTATACTCATGTCAATAATGGTTGTCACCGCCCTCCCCAACCCGAATCCCACACACCCCTCACACCCCCGCCCTACATCCCATCTCCAATTAAAAAACTTAAAGGGGTGACAACCATTATTGGCATGAGTATATTTACCATATTGAATGTATGAAGTATTGGTTACGGTAATTAACAATGAAACATCATATATATCCTTATCAATGTTATATACTAGTATGTTATTGACCATTCTACCGTGACTTAGTTAATACTGGTTCATGATTGTTTGATTAAAGTCATTCAGAGGTATATAATCACGTTACATACCTCTGATATCGATTTTCCAAAACAGTATGTATGTTTTTTAAATCTTAATAACGCGGAGATAAACAAACTGTGTTGGAAAATAAGAGGTATAAAACGAAATTATAATAGCTCAAAATTTTATTTAAAATTTAACATGTTTATCTCATATTTATTGATATAAATCGCCCAGATTGCACCAGTCAGGTTAGATATTTTCTTTTCCGATATGGTTTTATGCTGTTATAAGTCAGGATTTTGGATACCATGAGCTTTCTTCACTCTGCTCAGGTGTAAATGATTCGTGAACATGTTCACTATAGCTCTCTTAAGTTGTATTATGTCCACTGAATATCTGTACAATGGGTCAAGTGGCCTTCTCCATAAATAAGAATCCTGAATCGTGTGACTGTACCATCATCCCTATCATTATTGATATTCAAATGTTCATTTTGCGGACATGGGTGAGAAAGTGTAACTTTTAAGATGTTGTCAACACTTCAAATTAACAAATTGTTTAATGTGTTCATCTTTCAACAATTCAATCTAAATTACAGATCTACAGCAAAGTTTGATCAAACATATTCAAACTTAATGTGGCATAGATCTTCGTTGTTCACCGGCAAACAATAAGATATGGTGTTTTATTTTGTGTTACACTATCAAAATTCACCGCGTTAATCCGGACGAGAGTAAATCGCTCGGATTAGCAAATGTCTGGTGGAACGCGAAGATAACTTTGCGAAATAGCATCTTATATGCGCATACTAGCATTGAAGGATGTGCCGAAAAGACAAATTTATGGATTGCCTGAACTTCCACTGAATGAACCATTGATTTCAACTTTAGGGAGATATAAACAGGAAGCTAATACCTGTAACATACCAAAATTAACATAGAAACGAGACAATCCCCGTTGTATGGCAGCTGTGTTTCTGGGTTTGGGATTAACACGTTATTGACTCTGTTCTTGCCAAACCATCCGTGATCGTCAAGATAGGCGAGATACCAGCTCAATCATGGCAGCGATTTGAGGTAATACTGGCGATACAATTCCGTCTTTGATTACTTCAGAATTGATTGAGGCAAATGCTTGACATTCTTTCGTGTGGTGTCCACAAAGCTCGTTTAATATGAGTGTTTGCTTCATTCAAAGCGTTTGGCATGACACTGGTTCTGGGGACAGCTGGACCTTAAATTTACTGGATATTTTTGCTAGTGACAGGTTATGTGTTCCGGCATTTCTTAAACAAATTCTCTCGTTTTTATCAACATTTCTTTAAAATGGCCTGCCCTTAACTGAACTCAGCTGATGCAGATTCTACAGTTACCTCCCTTACCTATAGCATGATCTGATAATGTATAGAATATAAATCCACTTTGATTATCGTCTTTGTTATTTGTTCCTGATACGGCTAATTGAATTTGCATCCTTCATGCGATAACCGATTTACACATATTTTTACGCAGTTGGTGAACATAAATGACAGTATATGCATAAAATCACACTAACATAACTGTATATACACGAGGGGACGGTTGACTAGAATAAGTAGTATATGTGAGTGAGTGATTTGGATTTTAAGCCGCTTTTAGCAATATTCCAGCAATATGACGGCGATGGACACCAGCACCCTTGAAGGTCCGGGTTAGAATTGATCTTCAGTAACCCATGCTTGTCGTAAGAGGCGACTAACGGGATCGGGTGGTCAGGCTCGCTGACTGGGTTGACACATGTCATCGTATCCCAATTGCGTAGATCGATATCCATGCTGTTGATCACTGGATCGTCTGTTCCAGACTCGATTATTTACAGACCGCCGCCATATAGCTGGAATATTGCTGAGTGCGGCGTAAAACTAAACTCACTCATTTACTCACTCACGATGGACACCAGAAATGGGCTTCACACATTCCACTCATGTAGGGAATCGAACCCGGGGCTTCAGCGTGACAAGCGTACGCCTTAACCACTAGGCTACCCCACCGCCCCAAGTGGTATCTATGATACCTTGTGAAAACTTATGTAAATGGTAAATTCATTCCGATCGACTGAATATATTTTCTGAAACGTTAGCATTTTGTGTTTCGTATTCCACTATTCTGCGATTTTCAAGGTACAAATTACACATATGGTTTGTCGAGACCAGGACAGGACCACGGCACCATAAACGCCCCAGGACGTGGATATACGACAATAACCATGGCACCGAGCTGACCATAACATAGACAGGACAATAGTTGAATAATGTCTCACTTCTGTACAGAAATGGAAACAGCAACAGTATATATACATATACAAAATACTCGAACGGAACCATTCTTAAGAATTGTGTATGGCTGAAATATTGACGATGTGACGTTACATAATAACTCACTCACTCACTCACTTAAGAATTGTGAGAGAAAAGTTTTCATTAAAAATACAACAGTAACATTCCATAAACAAATTATATACTATCCATATAAAGGTGCTTTCTACGATTTAGTATTAAGTATCAGCTTTTGGCAAATAAAAAAATAGCATCGGTGAACATACAACAAAACTTCTCGATATCAGGCATATTTAAAATAACATCTAGATTTAACAACACTCATTAAAAAGACTTTCCCTCATATCGTCATATAATACGCAGTGAAATAAAACATGAACCTCATCTTCTACACAGATTTTACAATAAAAACAATTTCTATTGTGTACAGGGATACCTTCATATCGATCCGTATCAATTTTAATATTGGGGCCACACCACACCTAAACTTGGCAAGAACCGATCTGTAACCTCTTGGCAGGTTCCTTAAAACATAGTCGTCTGTTTTATAATCTTGTTTAAAGCACTTATACACTCTTAGTTTGTTCAGACCACTTTGCCCTTCTACCATATCTAACTTAGATTTCCAATTTATAACAAAGTCATTCATACACACATTTTGTACATAGTCACATACAAACGATTTAGCAATATTATTTGGAACATTTAACAGATAACCTAAACCAATATCAGGAAACTTCTTTCGAATCCTTCCATTCCAACTTTTACATACCAACATACCATCTTAATCAGATCTTACGTTAATCCGACGTACTGTGGGACAGTTTAGCCACTGTCACCCTACACCGTAAACAAACTACTATTATAAACTGTTATGATAATGGTACAATTTGTTACGACTTCGTCGTTCGTTAACACTATTTAATTATGTTTATGATTGTGGCGTTATTCTCTACTTTGTTGAGTGAGTGAGTTTAGTTTTACGCCGCACTCAGCAATATTACAGCTATATGGCGGCGGTCTACTGTGTTGAGGGCGGTGGGGGTAGCCGAATGGTTAAAGCGTCCGCTTGTCACCCTGAAGACCTGGGTACGATTTCCACATTGGTATAATGTATGAAACCCATTTTTGGTGTCCCCGGATGTGATATTGCTGGAATGTTGTTAAAAAAGCTGCGAAAAACCGTAATCACTCGCTCTATATATTTTTATGGGACAGACAGACATATATGTGTGCTGGTACTTACAATTCTGTGGATGTAGAATAATTCTGTCTTCGTCCTCGTCAGCACTGTGTGTCGCCTCTTACACCCGCATATCAAGTCGTCCTCCTGGAATGTAATCATGAACAGAGCTAACACATGTTTACCCTTAACGCAAAAACCTGTTCTCAGCTCTGACCACAGCGGTCGATTCAGATAATCCTCACAGTTATTTTGCACATCGAAACATGTAATTCTCTGTGTTGGGGAATGATCAGAATGGGGTATATATATTTTTTGTCGTATTTTAAAGTTCACTGATGTTGACGTGAATGAATGTGTGTTGTTTAACATCAAAATCCGCAATATTCCCTAAATATATTCACGTTTATCGAGTCCAGTCCAGGCATACCATTGATTAAAGATAACGGAACACTCGATCGGGGTACGATGGGACGCATAAATCCGATTTCACGAGCTTACCCTATCCCATTACATAACTGGCTGTTATACAAACGTAGAATACCGTTGATTAGGACACGAATCCCCGTCGGAATGCATGCAGCCAGGGCAACATTACACGGCATACGTACGCGTCCCACGACGTGAAACAATATGGACGCTTCGAAAGCTGTTACAAAATTTGCCAGTGTAATAAACTTATGTGGTTCATACTTAGCGAAATATTTACTTGTTCTACCTTCTCGAGCCATATAAGACCTTGACACTGTGACTAGTGACAGGTACAACCCGGTCTGAAGATAACTACTCTTAATTATTCTACCGATATTTATACTCGGCATGGATGAGAAATGACCCGTGTAGATCCGGGTTAGAGTTGATCTTCAGTAAACCATGTTTGTCGTAAGAGGCGACTAACACGATCGGGTGGTCAAGGCTCGCTTACTTAGTTGACACATACCATCATATCCCAATTGCGCAATCGATGCTCATGTTGTTGATCACTGGATTGTCTTGTCCAGATTCGATTATTTACAGACTGCTGCCATATAACTGGAATATTGCAGAGTGCGGCGTAAAAATAAAGTCACTTACTCACACTCGGCAACCTGTCTTAGGATAAAACGTCATATTTGATGGTTCAGTCCAAACATCCTGCAACAGCACGTTAGCCGGATTGTACCGTAATTAGGGCTCCTTGCCTCTAGGCAGGAGACCTATTGTAATCGTTCGGATTATCATTATTATTATCTATTATTCCGCCGATTTTTGTACCAAACATAACTCCTAAACCAATGCTCCGAATCACTTACAAAAAATCACACAGATGCGCACCGAGGTGTAGATATTCCCCTTAAAAATATCTAGGCTTTTGGCCCAATAGCAAAGGGGGGATAATTCAAAATTTATTCCACAATTTCAACGTCTGACAGCAAATATCTCAAGAACTAATTGTTCCGACACTTCCAAATTTCTTGTACAGATGCACAATCGAATACCCAACAATTTTGCTTGGACGGGTCAAGTCGCTAAAACATACCGTATGGCAGTTATTTTTGTTTTCAGCTTTTCTGAGTAGTTTGCTCCCAAAATGTGCACATTCTGCCAGTATGGTAGATGATGTCCTGGCGATTCCAGAACACTAATTGTTTTGAACGTAGACCCAAGAACAACTGAGATACAGCCTTTTAAAGAGGGAACTATTTCTTCTCCGGAACTACTTAAAATGTACATGACCCCCGTGACCCCGGCTGTATTTGGAAGATCCACTCGCCTGTCAAAACATGTGTTCTGGCTCCGTTTTGAACGATGATATCTAGCCCTCGGATACAATAGATAGAAAGTAAAGCCAAGGAGACCGCATCGTTGCCCGCAACTATATTTACAAATGATACTTACGCCAAATTTCTGTCCCGTTTTGATCTCGATCGGCTGTTTTCTACCTTCCACTTTCTCTATCACTGAAAGTAAACAAAATATTCAGTATATATCCACTTAGCGTTTTAAGAGATCACGTTAATTCCTTTTCTGGGGGCGGGTGTCAACGGGTGGGGCGGATGTAGAATTTTTTCCATCCGAGAAAATACACAGACTTAATACATACATGCACAGGTAACCGCCGCAAACTGTCCCGGATCAAGGGTTATGAAGCGTGATACATAGTTCGCAAGGTGAAGTTAAATAAAAGGGGGTTTAGCATGGCGTTCAAGATGATTGCACCCACATGACGACGTTCATCCGGGCGTTTATTTAGATCCGTGTAATGCTCTGGGCTTATGTCGGTTTTGTGGGTGAGGTCTTTTGAGACGTCATATTTAAGTTTCAAATGAATTCTCCACTCAGACACATTTAACCCACTTCCAGCCGACCATGTTTTATTCATTTCGAACCGAGAGCCCGTCAGGTAATAAGTACCACGTTTAAAGTGTGGTGCGATTGACCACAGGCTCAAACCACGGAGGCGGTCTTGGTAAACCAGCTGTACAAGCTCACGATTGGTAACCGATATTAGTGTTACTGAATACAAATCACAGTTCGTTTCAGTTGTTTGTGTCTAAATGTAATACGAAATCCTAATGCTGCCACATCTGTAACTATGTTTTTCAGTGGAATTCCTCGTTGCTTCCTATCAAAACTTGAAATACCGAATATTTTCTCGTTTCTACGATTATATATGGAACCTTGCTCGGGCCATAAAAAAACAACAATCGCTATGGAGACCAAGCGATAACAAGATATTAAAGACTAGAACAGACTGGATGCTACTTTTCTACAAAAAATAACATAACTTCACAGTCAAAATATTCACTGTTTTCATTTTTCTTAAAAGGTGTCAGTGTGTGTTCGATTATAGCTAGATATGTGTAGTCCATTACCACCTCCAATAGTCACTGGCGTTATTTCGGTTTTCTTCCTTCGAAGGTCTATTATTTCATAGTTGACATATATTACCAAACTCTCGAACATCTATTACGTCATAACTGACCTATTTGTAACAGTAAACACGTACTTATTTGTGGAGTTGGATCGGGGTAATGAAAAATGAAAATCATTCTGTATTGTTGTGGACAGATATTGTAAGCTTCATGTTTTACTGTTGGGGTTCACAAGTCTCCTTTTCCCCTGTAGTTACCGACAACCGAGCGGGGCGGTGGGGGCAGCCTAGTGGTTAAGGCGTTTGCTCGTCACGCTGTAGACCCGGGTTCGATTCCCCACATGAGTACAAAGTGTGAATCCTATTTCTGGTGTCCCCCGCCGTGATATTGCTGGAATATTGCTAATATTAAACTCACTCATTAACAAAGCTGGTGTATTTGTACATTTTATTTTACTCGTGTAAGATCTATAGATTTTAGGAATGCTGTGTTTAGATTTTGTTTAGGCAGGGAGAAAAGTTCTCATTTCATGAGCTTAGTCTATACACGTGCATGAATGTGTTTGCTACTGATATATACTAATACAATACACACTCACACACCACAAGCAACTGCTTTGCTCGCCTGCGCACACATAGTGTATGGGATAATGCATCTCTTTCCTGCCTGTTCCATCAGAACACACGCATGCACGCACACACACGAGCAGAGATAACAAGTAAAGGTATCGACATATGCCCATGTCACCATTTCATGTCGTGTTTTCGCAATTTCGTGTCATGTTAACACCATGTTGCTGTGTGTTATAGCTATGTGGCGTCGCCATTTCGCCTGTGTCTTTCAAGGCCGATGGCCAGAATCAACCTCCATAAAGTTTCGAAGCATCGAGACAATACCCGAAATTTCAAGTTTTTAAAAGAAACTTGAAAAAACCCTGAGAAAATACTAGAAACAACGTTAATTTTACCGAAGAACGATAAAATAATCGAAGAAACGAAAAAGTACTCAAAGGAACAAGGAAATACAGGAAAATTTATTGAGAAAGTTCTCGAAGCAACCATAAAATATTCGAATTTTTATGAAATGTTGCTGAAAAATATGGTTTATTCTACAAACATGGCAACATTAGGCTTTCGTAATGTAAACGTTAAATGTTAACCAAGTTCACATTCCTATCACAGTTCATAAACATGACAAAATCCAAAAATACTTAAATCGACTTTTTTCAACATCCCACCGCACGTTTATCCCCCCACAAAACCCCTCACAACATGACTACCAATTTAAAAAAGAGTACAAATGTGAAAGAAAAACAAAAGTTTAATTAAGTCATGACAGGATAAACATGTAGCTTCACGGCGTTGATATCGAGACGCTCATGGTGTGACACACTTTATGAATATTCCTCTATTCTACCCATGAATTAAATATTCTTTGGCTATTATTCAGCTTACAAAACATGAGGAGATTTGCTAAATATCATAGAAATCGAAGCTGTCGCATCCTAAAAGGTTCAGGTCTGGTTGAATTAAACGTTCTTCGCGGCTCGAATAAAAGTGCGAGAGAAGAAATAATGCCTCTGTCCCCCGGTATATTTCAAGGGACATAACTCCAGCTGGAATAGTGTTGACTGAACATATCTCCATTCTGAATGCTCTTCCCGGAGTTCGGGTGGTGGGTTCGATCCCTGGACGCGTCATCAAAATGTGTTTGCATCATTTCACATCACCCTCCTGAAAACCACATGCTTACTACTTACCAAAATGCTTGATATTCAATTCAAATTAAAATCGGAATATGAAAGGAGCAAGAGATGATTACTCACAGACTCCTGACAAGACGAAGTAGTATCCGTCAGCTATCAATCCTTTCTTTATAATAACTCGATTGTAGGCGAAACTGAAATGAAAAGTATACATAGGGAAAAGCACAAAAGGCACGTCTATCTGTGGATGAAGCGTAATGATGTCACGTCCACAATAGTAGACAACGCTTGTAAATAGAGGCGACAAAACCCTGTCCACATTCATAATAAAATCTTTGCCAAAAGCAGAGTCGATTGTACAATTATGACTATAACATGAGTAGAGATTTGCTTCAGCTGTTTTACAGCTGTATGATGTTGTTTGTAAACAAATCGGGTCTGAACCAGACCAAACCGAAACATGAGTCTCATTAACCTGTTCAGACAATGACCTACCTTTCCGAATTTTCTCGTGTGAAAGTGAAAAAAGACATCACAAACAATTATGGTTACACTGAATTCCAGTTTCCTGTTTCATAAGAAAATGGTATTTACAAATACATTTTAATTTACAACTTTAATAACATCGTATTTCTATATTTTATGACGAGGTGCAGGCAGCATGACCTTAACTAAGACGTCACAGACTGCCCCTGTTTGATGAGGTCGTAAAATGATTCCCCATGCACCTGGCTCACTTGTTACACCTGTTTTGTGGTTTTTCAGTGTAGTTGTGTAACGCACAATGTGAATTATATAATATCAAGTCCGTACCAGACCGCCAAACTTTTCTAGCGGCAGAGCCTCGTTTTGAAATTTCCACGATTTCGAGGTTTCCGTTTGTCAGAGCTCGCTGTACGACAGAGCACGCTGCACGACGTGGTTGCAAGGATTAGAAAGAGCGTGGTGTTGCAATATACAAGTGCATATATGTATCATATAATACTGATTAATATTTATGTATCCAGTTAAATGAATCGGTCTCAAAATTCTGGTCTGGTTATTGTACTAAGTTGCGCAATAGGACGGAACCCATTCAACAGGACTGTATAATCAATGTTTTGACTTGAATTCATTGAATGTCACCATGCGATACAATGAATTGCATTGGACATCATCTTTATCACTGATGCATCAAATTTGGAATTTTCCTCCACATGTCTCCCATAAAACTTCTTGAAAGCTTTACTGAGGCCTTGATCAAACAACTTTTGAGCAAGAGTGGTATGACGCTGTTTGAAATCCTGATAAAAAGAGCACGCTCAATTGTACCTCAAAAGTTGTGAAATGTAAACAGTCACCAAAAGCTGGAGATGTTGATTATTCTTCGACATGAAAGTTAACTATTTGAAAGTTGAAATCATTGCTTTTGTCATACAGCTTTGTGGAGATGTTTTATGCATAGATCTAAATATAAATAAGTTGAGTCAGGTCTCACTTGTCTCCTTAATTTCAAGTTCAGGTGAGTAAATACGTGTAAGGTAATTGGCTATTTGATGGTTATTGAACGACATTACTCATCGATGTAACGGAAGCTTAAGTTAAACTTCTTGTCCAAATTACCTTGTTTTAATTTGCCAACCAAGGCAGAAATTTTGGTTCATATGCATAAAGAAACAGGGCCCTTATTCTCGAAAGGTTCGTAACCCTAGAAATACTTAACTTTGATCGTAGCCCATGTGTTAAGAATGGGCTTAAGAAGTTCGTAGGTCTACGAACGTTTCGAGAATAGCTAGCCAGATCCGCAAGGCACAATCGGTGCCTACTTCTTGGCAAAATGTTTTACCCCCAAAGATGTAATGAGAAAGTCCAGCATTTCACGTATAGTTTTATCGGTAAACTTCAAGTGACATTTGCTTTCATTTTGACAAATTGTCCTGAAACGCTGAAGGTAGACATATAAGGTATATCTTTGTTCACCAAGTTTGTTTACAAAGGCCCGATGAATCAAGGAATGAAGTATTTCCTTAAGTTTGTTATGTGGGATAGTGGTATACAATGTTGAAAAATCAAATGTTTTGACAGAACGGAACTCGGTCCGTTTCTGAGATTCTAAAAATGTAAGCAAATCCTTTGAGTTTTTTGAGAATCAACATGTTATTAATTCCGCTTGCCTTAAAACTTGTCTGTGAGTATCGAGAAAGTCTTTCCTCGATAGTATTAAGGATTATGGTTAATCTCTGAGAGGGGGATTTGGTGGTACATTTGCTCCAACAAGCAATTAATTTCTCCTTGTACGGAGATTTATGTAGTTTTGGAATCCAGTACAAAAGATGAGTGGAAATGTCTTCAGGTCAAGCCAAATGTTGATAGCACTTCGTCCTCAGCTAACATACTGGCCTTACATGTTACCTTATTTGATATGTCACGTTGGTATCTTTGATCAAACAATTTATGTAATGATGTATACTTATAATGGCTCTGGTATTTACGTGAAGCTTCAATTCAACGAAACTCGACTATTTTAAAAATATATAATTATGCAATGTTTAATGATTTAATAAGATCAGGTTATCAGGAAACCGGTAAAATTTCACCCACACTTCTTTCATCTTTTCTTGTAAGATAACATCCTAGATACCCAGAATTGCGGATGTTCCCCATGAATCCCTGTCGCCCCGTTGTTTATTTATCGGTTAAGCAGAATTGATGCCATAAGGAAATAAAGTGACAGCTGCAGGCACACTTATGTTGATGCAGAACCATTTTTACTGAACATGATACCACATGAATCGTGCCAATGATCATCTCACAGGAGCAGCTTGAAGCGTAAATTTCCCGTAATTAAGGAAGGAGGGAAACGTTTCTTTTGGCGTTTAGTGTAAGTTCTTTTGCCCGACAGTATATCCGTTCATCCATCCATCTATTCACCCAGCCGCGTGTGCGTATGTGCGTATGTGCGTGCGCTCTGATGGAATGAGCATGAAATAAATGTATTACGTCATACATTATTTTAACTGTCGACGAGTGAAAAATAATTGAGGGGATACCGTCCACGATGTACAGTTGTTGCATTATAGAAACGTAATAATAAAACTTGTAAGAAAGCCCCATTGTCGAGATTGCATACTGTTTGGAGGCGAACAATTATGAGGCGTTGAGAATGACTAAATCACTCAAATCCGGGCATGCGTTTAAATGAGTGAGTGAGTGGTTTTACGCCGATTTCAGCAATATTCCAGCAATATCACGGCGGGGGACACCAGAAATGGGCTTCACACATTGTACCCATGTGGGAATCGAACCCAGGTCCTAGACGTGACGAGCAAACGCATTAACCACTAGGCTACCCCACCACCCCGCACACGTTGAAAAGTTTGGAAAAAAAGGAATTTCGAAAGTGTTAAAAGTACCTCCAGAAACTACAGAAAGTAATCGTAAACTGTAAGTTAGGCTTTAGATTTTCTTGTATATTATTAAAATAGTACCGATCCCAGTATTTTCTATTCGAGCTGTAAAATCTCATTTTGTGGAGAAATGGCAGGCATTAAAATATCCAATCCCTCAAAATTCAAGGTAGATATTGACTATATGCGCTGTTTATTCCTCGCATGAGGATTACACGTTCCCGCCCTCTTTAGCGTCAGTGAGTCTTGCTGCACATACGTTCTCGCTGAAAGTTGTACCACTCGTTTGGGGAGCTGAAAAGGGGTTTTACCGTTTAGGCCACCTGTAGCTTTAGGTCTTTTTTAAGGTATCGATTGATAACTTCCTTTAAAACGGTCAGATTATTATCCGCCAGAGAACATTTAAAATGAGCTCTTGCACCAATTCTGACCTCCTGTCTGTAGAAAAAAAATCTTCAAAACCAAATTTCACATGGACGGGGAGGCACTAAGCCAGCAATATGCCTTGAGGGATACCAAGCCAGGAGAGACTTAGTTGAAAGCCAGGTGATGACTGTGTGGAAAGCTGATTTTAATGATTTAAGGACTTTCAAGGCGAGAAGTCGCAAGAATTAGGCAGCACATAATACCCAATAGGGATAGGTTTTGAACTTTTGAGGTAAGCGAACGTGCTAGCCGTTCCTGTATCCAGTCTTTACATTGTCATACTTAAAATGACAATAATTTCGATTTCATGTATTCTTGTTGCAAAATTATCTACCTTTACATATTAATTACTCCCGTCCTTTAGTATCTTCACGGCTTGGTTCAGTAGTTCCTGAAGTTCATTTAACGTTTAGACTGGGCTTTGCCACAGTTTAGTTGTCTCGGGCTCACTTTTATGTGATTACGGGTAGATGTTACACAAATTCCTCAGCAATTCTGATGCTGTTATTCTTTTAATGTCAGATATTTGATTCACAAAAATGAAGAAAACATGGAATTTTAACACCGCAATGAAATGTCAGAGAAGACAACCTGTAGATGTTGTCTGGATTGCGATAGTGACATGACACGGTATGCACAAAGTGTATACAACGATACAAAAAATTGAAACTGGAACTGTAACGTGACACTGTAACCTACCATTCAAGTAACATGCGAATGATGTGCTAATTTTGATGTGTTTTGTTTTCTTCTGAAACGTACCTGTGAATCTCACAAATCACACTTACTTGTCATAAAAGGCGGCTTGTGCAAGTTGTTTCTGAACATACAGGGGGTAATTGTCGAAGTCTTTCGATATCCCTTTCATTGCTCGTATAACCTGGTGGAAATGAAAGAAGAGGTTAAACGCCCAGCACCTAATGCCCGATGGTGTGATGAACACTGTACCAGATAGCCCTATGGTGGACAGGGCCGAGTATGTAATGAAGGCTGGTCTGTTGGTGGTTAACATTGTGCCTCCATCGATTGCATACCCTCGTCAAAGCACGCGATCTGTCATGAATCAATCGGAACCTGATGCTGGCCAATGTTCCATAGTTATACATGTCAATTATTAGTATTAAATTATCAACTATGCTATTATGGACTGAGTGAGTGAGTTTAGTTTCACGCCGCTATTAGCAATATTCCAGCAATATCACGGCGGACGACACCAGAAATGGGCTTCACATTGTTCTCATGTGGGGAATCCTAACCGGGTCTTCGGCGTGACGAATGAACGCTTTGGCCACAAGGGTATCCCACCGCCCCTGCCAATGTGGATCAACTCAGCACATTGAATTGTTGCGTTTTAAACACTGAGTCGTTGCGAAACAAATGTGTATATCTTTAATTGTAACGCTTCAACTCTGCACATCGCAATGTTGCGCCACAGCTCTGTACATTGAAATGTTGCGCCTCAACGTTGTACACTGAATTGGTGCTCCTCAACGTTGCACACTGGGGTGTTGCAAATCAAACTTGTATTCCAAATTTTAACGCCTCAACCCAACGCACGTCACATTGATACGTCTCAACGCTGCATATTGCATCGTGCTCAACTCTGTAACCCCAAACATTGTCTTGTTGCGCCATGGAAGGCATATGACATGAGTATTGAATATGCCCTTGCATCAAAAGAAAACAGCTGATATAAAATAAATAAACTTTCACATATGCGTCCTCACCCCAGCGATCTGGTCTGGTGACCTTGTCCCTGGTGTTTGTTGTAGGCTCTGTCGAACGTCGTCTGTCATGTAGCTCTGAAATGCAATCATTGTTCTTTCACCAGTAGGAAAGGTGCCACTGTAACGATATTGGGGTTTATAAAATTATGAACTGCTCGGCTTTCAAAAAACAGCATTGATATATGCTTTAAAACGATACCCAGAACACACCTCTCATAGAAGTTTGTATTGGGGAGACGGAAATAATAATTCTATGAAATATTTAGCCGATACATATATCACTGACGGCCAATGAAACTTGATTAAATACTCCTAGCACACATACACCTCATTAACCAGTGTTTATTTTAATGCAACTTATCTGTGTGATATTTCTGTTAGTTACTTGTTTTGCCGTTGTTACAGAATATCGAATTTACGTCTTAATTGATTCTCGGGGATAACATCTTCTGTTAGCGTGGCTGGCAAACCATATAAATGTTTAATTGACGTGTAACTAGCAACGAGAGGAAGGGGACTTTATCTTGTAACACCAGCATCGATTGTGTTTGCACGCCAGGTGAAACTATTGTCGATAGTTATCGACACATGACCTATATATCGTGAAATAGGGTTCCTTCTATCTGTCTAATCGTCATTCTGCATCCTTGTTCATGTGTGAGCACACTATGACTCCCTTTACTTTGTCTCTCTCTCTCTTTCTCTCTCTCTCTCCCCGTCTCTCTCTGTATCTCTGTGTGCACCTCTTCCTCCCTCTCTCTCACTCCGTCTCTCTCTCTCTCCCTCTCTCTCTCTCCGTCACTCTCTGTATCTCTGTGTGCGCCTCTTCCTCCCTCTCTCTCACTCCGTCTCTCTCTCTCCCTCTCACTCCGTCTCTCTCTCTCTCCGTCACTCTCTGTATCTCTGTGTGCACCTCTTCCTCCCTCTCTCTCTCTCCGTCACTCTCTGTATCTCTGTGTGCACCTCTTCCTCCCTCTCTCTCACACCGTCACTCTGTATTCTCCTCTCATTCTCTCTCTCCCTCCCCTCTCTCTCTCCGTCACTCTCTGTATCTCTGTGTGCACCTCTTCCTCCCTCTCTCTCACTCCGTCTCTCCGTATTCTCCTCTCATTCTCTCTCATTCTCTCGATCTCTGTCATTATTATTACCTCAGCCCTTCGATCCCGTTTATATTCTCCAATGTCAAAGGTTAATTGCACCAGTTCTCTTTTTTCGTTTGGCACAAATGTGACGAATGGGCGTGGACCTCTCTTCTTCTGCTGAATCTCCGTGGTTGCGACGAGGTTGTCTATGAGAGAGAACCAGGATTCCTTCTTTACCTTTTCGGCCAAAACGCTGAAACAAAAATGTGGTTTATACATTTATATTTCCTAAAGTACACTATGTAACAGCAAATCTGTTAACATGATAACAGTTTACAAAACATATAGAGGCAAATTGTACAATTCATTCACTGTGGGGTTATTTTGTGGAATGTTGGAGGGAATTTGATAAAAATATTGTGTCCCCAATGTAAAATGATATCTCCAATTATCCGCTGTTTAATTTCAATGTGACGTCTTGTTTATGTTACGATACCTTGTTCTCGTCGACATAGGGTTGACACAATGCCATAGCATTTAAATTTAATTTTAGATTAATTCATGCATTAGATAAAATGAGAGATCTAAGATTATATGTGACTTTCTGACAGGTCATCACAATGACCTAAACTTTCTCCCTATTAATCAATCCCATATGTCTGCTGATGAAATCTTGCCAGCTTATATTAAATCATTTAATCTGGTCTTAGATCACGTTTGTTCCCCCAAGCATAGTCAGGCTGGTACATAAAACCTATTTTTAAAAACAAAAGTAGCCAAACCGACCCTATTAACTACAGAGGAATATCCATTGTTGGTTATTTAGGTGTACAGAGCAATCCCACCAAAGCGTCAACGAAAGTGAGACAGAAGCTGACTTTCGGAAATCGTATTCCACAATATACAAATCTTTGATAGATATAACAGGTATATTCCAAACTGTAAAGAGAAACAAGTTTGTGTTATTTTTCATTGACTGTTGGACGTCCCTGGCTTGAGAATAATATTGGTGGAAAATGCATTCGCATTATCTATAACATACATCAACTTATAAAATCTTGTATTGTACATATTGGGACTGAATCCCCATATATTTCGTGTGATATTTGTATGACAAGAGTTGAAAATTTGTCACCATTTTTATTTGCTTTATAGGTGAATGGCCTTGCATCGTTGCTTGCTGACCAACATTATATTGGCTTGAAGTCAACTCAAATTTTGTTTGAAAGTGATATAGGGTTGTATATTAAATTGTTATGTGAATATGATACGGTCATACTTGGCGATTCAAGTGACGATCTTCACTAAGCGTTAAAACAATGCACAGAATACTACAAAGAATTGAAGCTGAAAGGTAATATAACAAATAACATCCCCCTTATGCAATTGATGATGAAATTATTGGAATTATATGTTGCGATTCCGAGACAAACTGTCATGCAAAATATACTCTCTCATGTATATCTTGAAGTCCACCTTTCCTAATTATACGTTTAGACAACCAACAATAATACAAACTATCATACGGGATACTGGCATATATTATATGTGGATGTCACAGAGTGTAGTTTCTCAAAACAGTTTTAGAGCTACTGTTAAGAGAGTTTTTATTGATCAGTTTATCAATCTTGGAATGTAACAGTACATTCTTCTTCAAAGGGTAAATGTTATAAACTTTATATCGAAATATCTCATTCAGAACCTTATGTTCTGGAACTAACTCTAAATAGTGTACACCCGCATTAGAACAGCTAAGATAGGCTTACCCTCATATCGCCTACACCTCATGTCGCCTACAATAATTATAATGGCCAGTTCTATCACCCCTATCATAATAATGGGTATTACCCAACTGGCTGTTAACATTAAACAAATAGATCTTGTACATTGTCTGTGTGACATGACTTACTTATCTACTTACATTAGTATAATTTGATCAACCAAACATGTTTTGATTGTATAAACATGACTTACTTATCTTCTTCTTTGATCAACCATACATATTTTCATCGTATAAGCATGACTTAATCACGATTTTTTAAAGGATATTTTGATCAATCATACATATATTTTTTGTAGGATAAACATGACCTACTTGTCTTCTGCTTTGATCACCTAAGCTGTTTTTTCTGTGTTAACAAGGTATGCTCATCTCATCTTATTCTATTTTGCGTCAAATCTTCAGAGAGCTGAGTTTGTTACTTCAAAGAGAGGCGCTCAACATGTGCTTCATGCTCGATACTGATACAAACGACGCCAGATTTCCCAGTAATATCTGGAACCAGCTCGGGAAAACTGGATCTCGCTCAAACAACCACCTGGAGGGGTTCCACAAAGAACTAAAGAAGACTGACTGACTGACTGAGTTTAGTTTTACGGCGCTTTTAGCAATATTCAAGCAATATCACGGCGGGGGACACAAGAAATGGGCTTCACACATTGTGCCAATGTGGGGAATCGAACCCGTGTCTTCGGCGTGACGAGCCAACGCTTTAACCACTAGGCTACCCCACCACCCACAAGAGAAGAGAATGCCCAGGTCACATCCAAACATTTACCAGTTCATAAAATAAATCAAGAACATTCAAACAGCAGATAAACGGTTTAGACGACAGACAGGTCATGGTGGTATTGACAGTGAGAGAGATGCCCGAATTGAGAGACTAAAGCTACACCTTGCAACTGGACAAAAAACTGTGATGCAGTTTCTAGATGCAGTTGACACTTAAATTACATTAATTGTCCTGTGACTGAATTAGGTATCACTGCTGATGATGATGTATGTGATTGACTTATGTGACTGAACATGGTGATGATATTGGCATTTTAACTTGTTGTATATATGACCTTATTAAGTATAAAATCATCAGTGCAAGAGCTTATGTTCATTAGTGAAGTATACCTCATTAGTGGAAGAGTCTACTTTTCTAAAGGTATAACAGCATTTAAGTAATGTGCAGTCAACCCTAAATTTGTTTTGAAAAGGGTGTAGGCGAAATGAGGTGTAGGCGATATGAGGTCAGACCCACAGTAAAAGTGACAATATACATCACGTAGTGAAGCATACCAATATTCCTCTCAGCATGCCCCAATTTAGCAACCCTGAAAAATATCTAATTTTGTATGTAATATTCCTTCAGTCGAAAAATTTATCACAAGTGTGAAATCGAGTTTTAAACCACTAACTTTAACATCAGCAAAATATATCAAGGAAGGTGTTTGTTTGTACAAATGAAACTTATTAAGTGCATACTTGCATCTTCTTCACATTTGTCATCAACAAATTCATACCGGTCATATTTTACATTATCTGTATGTTCTCTATGTCACAACATGTGCTTTACACGTATAACAGTCTTCTTATTCCATTAGTTCTCCATACAGCGGCCTGTCTGTAGCCACGCTTGTGTATGTATCACAGGATGTAATTTGCAGTGAATCCATGTTAGGTTGTTTTACTTACTCCTTACAGGCTCTGCATACTTGAATGAGTCGCATCACAGCAATAGCACACCGCCGGAAACGTTGATACGGCTGAAGACAAAAATGAAAATAAAAAACGATTACAAGGAAATGTTGAATGTATGTGATAAATACTGACAATTTGTCATATACCTCTTGACAAAACACGCCTGTAACTCTCCCGACTAGTATAAATAATCGTCATGTTTTGGCAATATATTACACATATAATGTAAGCAATCGTATAAAAAAAAATATATATCTGGAAGAAACGCGAAAGAACAAAATTGTGTCATCCTGTTTTTGATTTCTATATACACAGTTACTATACTACACAACTTCAACTCTGTTTTATTTTTTAAATTATGATTAACACTTTGACTTCCAACATAATATGTCTACGTTTTACTGATACTTATTGTTCATTGCTGATTGACGAGTTATAGTCCGTAAACTGGTCATTTAAAAATGTTACCAAACAAGATTGGTTATTTGCAAAATAAATATTTTGATTAAATTGCATTTTGGAGTTATATGTTTTGTTTTTATCTGGAGATTGATGCTCTGTGACGGATGACTGTTGATGATTGATTGAGGGCCACTCATACTGGTGACTGATATCATGTACAAAGCTCTTATCATCAATTAAGTAACCGAAGAATTTACCCGCCTCTTACACATTATAATCGTTGACTGCAAAACATACTTTAACGTATGAATATGGGTTCATTAACATTGCAATAATTTTAAGTCGAAATATTATTAAAATTCTTATTACTGTTCTAAGGCTATCAAAGGATATCTATCAGTCAGGAAATACGTTGAAACTGTACGTGGTCATGATTTTATCAATACGTACCAAAGGATAATCTAAAAAAATATTTTCATCCTTGTTCTGTAAGTTGCTATCAAGTAAATTATGTATACCAAGATTCCAATTCAATATTTGCAGAATAACCAATTAAACTTCTATTAATTCCCTATCTGAATGAATTATCACAACCAGTCATCGATGCTGATTTTTACCTGATTCAGCAGCGGCTGACAAAAAAGAACATCTATCAATGTCATTGGATTCATGGAATGCATTATGTACTGGTCTGCAAACAACAGCAACACAGATGTAATGACACATATGGTATGAATACACTCTCCACTGATGAATATTAGCTTTCTTACATCCTCTGTAGGTTCCGTCAGAAGTGTGTCACTATCCTGATCCTCTTGATCCTCATCGTCCATGTTAGTACAAAATCCGTTCCCAATCACTGCCTCACAAGCCCGCCATGTTGTATTGAAACAATGCCCTGTCGTGATCTGCTAACCGTCGCATGATCACGCACAGTGTTATCAATAACGCAACTAAATGTGTCTGAAAATACTTCGATAATTGCAGCCCACAGCTCAGGTTACGGCGAGTAGGCATTGTATCAATGGCGCAATTGTTCACTCTATCGTTCTGTTTCTTCGTGTATGCTGTGCCATCGAGAACTGTAACGATTGCTCGCTTATGGGTTTCTATGGGGTGCTATTTTACACGCTTGTTTGTTTATGGTGATGGGTGTTTATTGCGGTTATGAGTCGTAGTGTCTACAGGTTATGCTGCCTACCAAGGGTAGGGGTTTATTAATGGTTTTGGTTTTGTCTAATATGAAATTGGTTGTGATTTATGGCTTCGCTTATGACATGCGCATGTGGTCATGGCGAATGATATCATTATCAAACACTACTGGTAACCATAGATCATTCTAGCCTCATGTCACAAAGTCTAAACATGGCTGTTAATAATATTTACAAAACTGAATGACAGCGATAACCTCCACCTTCCTATTGTGTGTATCAATTAATATTCCAGACTTTGGTGTCCACATTTAAAACAGTTCTGTTTTTTACCAATATTCCAGTGAACATCACACGACCCTAGCTCAAAAGCTGTTTTTATCCTGTTTACAACATTCAATGTCGTTAGTTATTAAAGCAATAAAAAGATTTTAAAAGTTGGTTAACGCAATAACTTGTTTTGGTTTCCGTCATGTGCGTGTTTTTTCATTAACATTGGCGATGTCATGCTTACCGTTTCGGGAACACCTAATACCATCACTGTCGCTAATATATGAATATGCGGATGTAAGAGCAAACGTGTAAAGGGCAAGTGAAGGCAATTTCATCAACAGATGTGTCGAAATAGAGAAACCATTGTTTGGTTGCAGCATAACAATAATACTATGGTTTAGAAATAGAATAATCATATATGGCAATACATTTACGTTTACACGATGCATATCACATACCACGAATCCTAGTCAACGCAAAATGTGTATGACAGTTGGTTACACAGATATGTAATCGATATTCAAGATTGTTAGTGACCGGCGTCTGCCACCCACAATATCATCTATTATGTTTAAAGGGCTGGTGTGAGATTACAAAATGACACGCTGTGTCTGTACACCTCCTGTCTTACAGACGTCTCTCAACGTATTGCTCATTGTCTTTGTGACAGAGACCAAACTGAAACGTGCCATGGGTAGTAGATGGTATCGTATGGGAGGTATCAGTGCATAGCCACTGCAGATTGAATGGGGTGTGGGGGGTGAGTTGTGACGATTTTAAAGTGGGGACACCCATTTTGTTCTGGGGAGGTAGGGTAGGGAGTCATCAATTACAAAATCGATGTACTAGGGGTGAGGTGAAATTGGGTTAAACGTCGTGCTTGAGAATATTTCGCTCATATGACGACGTGCATGCGTGTGTATGTGTATGTGCGGCTGCTTGTACTAGCTCAGACTGAAGCTGGTTTTATAGTGCTAGCACACTGAGATACCATGCCGCAGTGAAGCATGAATACCCCACTCAGACACATTATACTGACTCCGAGCCGACCAGTCCTTGTTGTACCCATTAATGCCGAACGCCAGGCAGGGACCAACAAGTACCATATTTTAACGTCTTTTGGTATGACGCTCTCCGCGCGGACGCTCTAACCACTACACCACGGAGGCGGTCCGATGTACTAGGGGGTTCAGCAATTGTGCAGGGGGTGGGAGTGTCACTTATTTTGTCCATACATATCGGGGAGGGGGGCATTCACATTGTACATACGTCTCCTCAGAAATCATCATCACACCCCTTGCCATAAATTATTAACTTTATGCATACAAGTTTGTATTATGTTTCCCTTCATGTGTTTGGCAACAGATCTACGTTTAATGGCAACAATTGAAAATACCAACGATGACCACTGAAAAAGGTACCTGATTTGCATGTCTGATTATTAGATACCTGATTTGAGTTTAAGATTCACCTCTCTTGTCCGTTATTTGAAAATAAGTTATTTTAATAACACGTATATTCAATAAAAAATACAGTTGTCATATTATCACAACTGATCCACAGGTTTCATAACTGGGAATAACGTACCGTTGCAATTTCACCAATTAGTGTACAGAGTCTCGGCATCTTCCTGAAGGCGAGTTTAAACCGGGCCTTTCGCTTTCGTCGGTTTTCCTCGTCCTGACGTTGCATGTCGATAGTAGCGGATTTGTTCTGTCTGGTCAAGGTAAGGGCGTCAGTGACCAGGGATTTCAACCTGAAGCGTGTGGTCATCTGATTGAAACGCTCGATATATTCATCAGCATTGGACACCATGGACATAGAGGTGTCCCTTCGGAACAACACCCTCTTCTTGTCCATGACTGCGGCACGGAAAATCTGAAAAAATGGAAATAGGAATAGATTGGTGGAATTCAAAGAGATCATGCCGTTGTACAAAGCGATCTTAGCGCCAAGGTGACCGTGACTCCCATACCTTAACATGTATACGCACTTGAGGTAGTCTTAGCGCTGAGGTTGCTTTGTACAACAGTACCCATGATTATATTTTTGAAGAAGCATTCAATCCTTGCAAACATTAACTGTAAACTAGATATCTCGTTGACGAAATTGTCATTACCATTAAAACCTGTAGTTTCCTACATCGGCACAACGCGTGTCTCGAATTGTTGATAAACCGATATTGTTCTCTGTGGTCTCCTGAACTTCGAATTATCGATTCCAGACATTAACATCAAAATATGCCACAGATACGATGCACACAATTTCTCAACATATCACAACGAGTACACCTCCATGCATAACGATTGCCAGCACCGACACACCTGCACTAAATTGTAATATAGAACGTAGGGGTACTATAATGGTTCCTAAAAATGAACTTCCAGTAAAATTCATTATTTGCCTTATATGGAGACCATTACCTGCGATGGGTTGGTTCTGGTAACCATATCATCAATAACCACATTTACAGGTGATGGAGTGACACAATGACTTCCTTTAGTCGGCGGACCATTACTGAAGTAGCTTCAGAATGCCAATGGAAAATCGACTTGCGGCAAAACGCAATCTCCTTAAAGTTATTGATTATTCATAGGTGCTAATAGTTTCATTTATATTATGATTGCATGACCTTATCGAATCTAAACCGGGACTTTCAATATGACCAACGTCGATGCTGCAAATGACAAATGTTGAAATGACGTGTGCTTAAGGTGTATGACACAGAGAACATTAAATATCTAAAATACTGAGAAATATTGCTGATAACGTCATATGAACGAATCAAATGTCCTGCACATGTTTAGTATTTAGTATTAAAACAGTGCAATGTACATCGATGTACCCAGCAATAAATATCCAAATGGTGAATAAGTCAGTACCAATCCACCGCACCCTTTGTTGTTGAAGATACCTAACGTCTACCACAGTTTAGTAACTTTTTATTGTTAGGCTCTGCCTCTGAAAACTCTAAATTGGTAACTTAACATACATCATCTCAATTGTTTCTAATAATTAAGAAATGGTTGTCTTGGTAACCTAACACAGGCGCCAATGTCCTCCCAAACGAATCACAATTCATAAACGCTTACTGTTAAATCGGTGGTGACCGTTGGTGCACGACGACACACTGTAACAAGATAGGATTTGTAGCTTATGAACCACCTGACGGCGTTTGTACTTTCTGGTCATTATTCAGCAAAATATGCCCTTTTCACATATTCTACACATCTGAAATAACGATTCATTCAATGCCTGAATAATAATTGAACATGAACACTTATACTCACAACTCTGTGTCCCCGGTGACTATATGTTCACATGTTCCTTCCCAACTTGGACTGAAATCAGTGACACGTAACGTATCACCCAGTGTAATCTACAGCAAATCTCCTATATACTCCTAGCCACCAATCCCTGTATGAGTGTACACGAAGGTGGGATCTACTGATATTGTTTCTTCATAAAGGACATTGTCAACCTGGACAAGCTCATAAGTATATGATGATTACATATGGTTACATTACCAAGGTAGGTAATCTAAGCAATGGTCATGGTGTAAACAGAGTCACATTGACCGTCGATTGGCTGAATGTAGCGTAGATCAATAATATAGTGAATAAGATCATGGTTTGTATGATGCAACATAATTTGATCAAAACACACACGTGTCCAACGTCTACGCTTGTGACTTCTTTGAAGGACATTTTAGAAATTGAGGTATGACGAATTATGATAATTTTCTGGATATACAACTTCTTTATTCTGTGAGAGGAGGCGTTTCATCCCTTGCTTGACAACGCCACTAGAATCTTTGTTTCCTTTCACAGAATAAAGAAGGTGTATATCCAGAAAATGTATCATCATTCTTCGTTTACACTTGTGTAAAGGCTTTTCAATTTGTTCGCTTGTAAGAATTGTTTTCATAATGCAATTGATGGTACTTTATTGCTCTTGGGGGTGTTTAAAGTGCACAGGTTGTGATGATGAGTAAATTGTCTCTATACTTATAGCTTTATTCCTTTATTTCATTTGAATGATTTCACCCTTTGGAAGACGTTATTCATGTAGGTAACGAGGTAGTGTTTTATTTCATTGACGGGATCGATACACTATTGATCTTCAATAATCTCCTTAAACCCATGGGATTATAATCTACTGGCATGATTAGGGAGTAATCTGCACATAGTGACTTATTCTGCTGCATATAGTCTGCTTCAGTTTTAGGGTTTTGACATTTTCTTAGAATATACATAGCTATACAAACACGTAACCTTATATACTTAAAATCTTACATAATGCATATAATATTTTCCCACATGAATGTCAACATTGTGTTGAGTTTATACAGATGCAAGAGCGTCAAATGCCGTCACTGATACTTCAATAAGCATTGGAGAAAGTGATTAGGTATTACGTTTCTTTGTTTGTTTGTTTGGAGTTGTTGTTTTTGTTGCAATTGTTGTTCGATGACGTCTCAACCAAGTCAGTGACCCGATCCCGTTAGTCGCCTCTTACGACAAACATGAATTCTAACCCACATCTTCACGGGTCGATATGACAGAATTGATATTTAACACAGATGTAATAGGCAAACCATGTCATAGATAACATATTAAATACATGGAGTGAGTGAGTGAGTGAATGATTGAGTTAAAACATTTCGCATTGTCTCGCGGTGTCAAGGACATTTAAACGAAAATTACCTACATTATCTTTATGATAACACTTTACCTCATTAAAACACATTATGTGTCACTTTTTGCAGATAATGAAGCTATATTAAGTGGATTTAAACACATGGGGTGTCATAAAGCTACACTAATTGTTTGAATGAAGAACTTGGTGAAAGTATCATACCATTAAAGGTCATTATGGTAAACGGTGTCATAAAGCTACACTAATTGTTTGAATGAAGAACTTGGTGAAAGTACCATACCATTAAAGGTCATTATGGTAAATGGGCAGGACATCAGCAAACATCATTCATCAGTACTATCAACATTTGCCTTGATTCTGAAGCCTGAAGAAATCTCTATTCTTATTTTCCTCCGTCATAAGTGGGGTAAAATGTTCATACTTTGATGTTTACATTTCGCAACTTTTGAGGTATCTCTCCCTCTTGTTTAGCGAGTAGATGTAACACAGCGCTGTTGGAATAGCCCAGTTTCAGGAGGTAATTAATCAAAATAATCAAAAAAACTAAATATGATATGATAACAATGAATATATTATTTACAATTCACACACTGATAGGCACACTCGGACACACACAATACATAAGTACACATTTATTCTCAAAAGCCTATTATCAAAATATTCTAACAGACATTCTTTCGTGCTTTTTTAAAAAGAACCGTTTTTACGAATCGTGACATGTAAGTACTGGTGTGACAAAAATAAGTAAAGAATATATACCTAAACCCACATGTAATAAAATTCTGGAATGAAACACAAAATATTTACTTACACTTCTCTCCCATCTATCCTTTAAGAGAAATTGGTGGAAGTGAGCTAGTGGTGGCATGATGAAATAATACAGCTCCACGATGCTTTGCTGCCTCCAGAAACTGATCCCAATCAAACACTAATTTCAACACAAGATAACGTCTTGACACTTTGCAGTCCTACAACCTGTCAGTTTCATGATTGAAACAACGTGGAAAATAATCCTACAAGCTCAGGTGAATATCAGCGTGAATTATTCAGTACTGTGATGGGTAGTTGTAGCTTAGGATTCGTATCTAAGGCGGTGATTAATATGGAAGACGTCTACAGCGGCCGAGGGTCGACTTTTCAACCCTTGTTCGTGGATTAGATATGAATAATTTACACTGTATCCTTGGATGTGAGTACATCAGTCTAGGAGTCTTTTATGAGGCAATTTCGTAGCCAAGGTGTTAATACCTTGTTAGATTCCGCAGTGCTAGCGATGTTGCGGTTTGTTATTAACACTACATGACGAATATGTCCATGTTGTCAAAATCGTTGCAACGAAAACCTGAGCCATTAGATCTTTATTAGCATCTTTTTTGGGTGGGCAATTTGTTTCATTTTATTAAAACAGCAGCTTATCACATCATATGTCATTACCTGAATGCATTTGTTCCTTGACACAATAAATAAATAATAACGCAAATAATAAAATGACATTTACCCCTGCATATACATTCCTAGGATGAAAGTATATTTATATCAATTATACAAGCAAGAGTGTTCTTTGTCACACACTTACACATTGAACATTGTTACATTTGGGGTTGCGAGAAGTATAATTCTAGTAAATCTTCAGACCCATCCAGGATTGACATTATATGAATTATGTGGTGCACAGCCAGCATTTCCGAAAGAGAAACATCCTCGTTAAATGAAGTGAGTGCCGCACTCAGCAATATTCCAGCTATATGGCGGCGATCTGTAAACAATCGTGTCTGGACCAGACAATCCAGAGATCAACATCATGAGCATCAATCTACGCAAATGGGATACAATGACACGTGTCAACCAAGCCAGCGAACCTGACTACCCGATGCCGTTAGTAACCTCTTACGACCAGCATGGGTTATTGAAGATGCAATCGAACCTGGATCTTCACGGGTTCGTTAAATGAGGTACTTCATGATGAGTACAACAGCCGAACCCACGTAGCAACGCAAAATCCAGTAATTGGGCATTGGACATTATTGTTGTTCACTTCGATGAGCTGGTTCAGCCTTACAGGCCAGATTAAACAGACACTGTGTTCTCGACAATAGGCAGACTTGGGACTTTTAATAAAATTATTAAATATGCAATAATTAAAAAATGTTAACACAGTTACTTTCGTGTTGATGTAACTATTCAAAAGCTCAACACATGTGATTTTGTTCAAAAGCTGTTAAATATTTCATGGCACAGAGACAGGTTGCCAGTTGCACTTATAAGGGTCACGCAACTGAATACCTTCAAAGGTAAGGGGTCAGATGGTTCTGGGATTTGTATTGGGCACGATATATAATACATGTATCATTTTCAGGACACCATGTCTTTGGCGAAGGACGCCAATTTCGCCATGTCGAGCGATCAAGACATTTTAGTAGATGGAACCTAAGAGGGCAGGTTATATTATATTGTTTTTGCACTTGTAAAACAGGATATCCTAACTATACATAACGGATATGCTAGCTTTATGTGACGGATACCAAAGCTATATTCGATTCTTAAATTTATACATATGTGAGGGCCTATCCTGACACCTGCATCATCTATAGTAACATGATCAGATGTCGTGTTTTCAAGGTCAGTTGGCCTACTGTTATAAGAAAGCCCAACGTGATTGAGATACTAAACGTTGAACAGTGCCTGGGAAGGTGCAGACAAAAGGAAGGTTACAACCAGAGCTTGATTCAAACCAAAGTATCGTGCCCAACATGAGCCTTACTCTCCCTTAAGGCAAGTGACACACAGTGTAGTGAGTGATTGAGTGAGTTTAGTTTACGCCGCTTTTAGCAATATTCCAGCAATATCACGGACACCAGAAATGTGCTTCACGCATTGTATCCATGTAGGGAATCGAACCCGGGTCATCGGCGTGACGAGCGAACGTTTTAACCTCTAGGCTACCCCGACACACATTATAAACATAAATACATTGGAACATTATACAACATATACTGTTTTATCTCAACCTAAACATCATCTTACTCCGAGGCCCTTCTCTTAAAAGTGAGTGAGTGAGTTCAGTTTTACACCGCTTTATTCCAGTAATATCACAGCGGGGGACACCAGAAATCGGCTTAACACATTGTACCCATGTGGTGCATCGAACCAAGTTCTTCGGTAAGACGAGCGAACGCTTTAACCTCGAGGCTACCCCCACCGCCCCCTTCTCTTAAGAACAAAGACGAGTAATTAAACATCAGTCTTATTCTGAGCTCGACATTAATTACTTACTCAGGTACCATTGCAATGTGTGTGTGTGTTTGTGTTAGTTTTTGAAACACCTGCATACCTGTACACCTACACACGTGCATCATAAATAACTAAATACTAGACATAACAACAGACTACGAGTTCAAGTAATCCCATCGTTATAGCTCTCAGTAGCTCCTTGGTCGGTGTACGGACAGTCATTAACATGTACGCGCGCCAGTCGCGTTTAGCTTCACGGGAAGGCTATGCATAATTTAACACGCAAGCCAATTTCAGACTAGTTGATACTCCGCATAACACCGAGACTGCCGCTTGTCTGGTCGAGCGATGGTATGTTGATATGGAGTCAGTGTGACATATCTGTTTCTGACATACCAGGTGACATATCTGTATGTCTGAAGCCCCCGATCTGTGTGGTATGCTGCTCTGTTGTGCAGCCGTTCAAGTGTTCTCATGCATGTAGTTGTAATAGTGTTGGAGAGACAAACGTCTTTACATTACGCCCATCGCCTTCGTCGTTTGATGAGAAAGCCCGACGGGTAGCAGATTGCAATTTGATATATTCTTGTGGTGTTCTTTCTCATGCAGTGATTCTTTCCCGAAACATTCCGATATTTGATATGCCTTGAGAATAGTCTTAAACGAGCACACAGTCGTCCACGGTCTGGTAACTGAACTAGCCTTGGAAAACCTCGTCAGTGTGGAAGAGAGAACATTTAGATTCCAGAATTAGGTATTTACCTTTCTTTCATGTGTACAAGGTTGTCGTTGACACGGGGTTTCTGGGATGAGGAGGTTTTACTGTTCACTAGACTGCTCAAGATGTTTGCTATGTCAATATCAATATCTCCCTTACTGAATTTTCTAATGTATTTGTGAAGTGTTTAGCCTTCTTCACAGACTGACTGAGTTTTTGTTTTACGCCGCTTTTAGCAATATTCTATCTACATCACGGCGGGGGAGACCAGAAATGGGCTTCACACATTGTACCCATGTGGGGATTCGAACCCGGGTCTTCGGCGTGACGAGCCAACGCTTTAATCACTAGGCTACCCCACCGCCCCTCTTCACGGACAGTAGATGGCCTAAATGTTGCATTTCGATACATTCAGGTTTTGAATAGTAATACATGTTTAACTGTTTGCAGATTAAATATGAAAACATAAAATTTATGTTAAGAATGTAGTCGATCTGAGTTTGATAAACAAGGACATTATCACAGCAGAAACTCAGAATGATCGCTTAACAGCCACATATGACTATCTTTGTTCACCATGTTACTAAACACTACATTTCTGTGTTATTAATCCAGACAGACATTGGCCTTTCAGTGCTTCTTCGTATACGTCAGCTAAAGGTAATGTCTGGAGTTCGTAAACTTTACTACTTTGACAAAATACTCGACCAAATGTTTTGGACAAACAATCGAGGCAACACTGAAAATGAACCACGTTCCTGCAGATGAACAAAACTCTTACTAGTGTTGGGGCACCTAAGGCCACGTTGACATAGATTAACGTGCAGGTGGAGCTACCCGTGCCTGAGTATTGTCCGATTTAAAGGAAAGTGAACAATTGTTCATTGTACAATAGTAGTAGATATTAAGGTGAGTTTGCTCAAGATCGGCCCTTACTAAGTCAACAAGTCTACAACGGTAGTCGGACAAGAGTGGCGCAGCTCGTACTCTTGCTCCGTGAGACTACAAGCTTATGTTTACGGTACCAACTGACTGACAATATGTTGATAGGATATGGCTGTTTTAGATGTAGTTGACGCTAAAACCCCTCTTACAGACACGAGAGCATATATTTAATTGTGGAAAACAATGAAACTAACACCCTGCTTTAAACGCATCTCCTATTCAGGTATTTGTTAGAGTTCTTTACATCTTGGGAGTTTCTTTCTTCAACTGGTTTCATTTCAGCTATACTACCCATCAAATGTTTAGACTAACTTCTTACACTCACTAAATGTTATGTATATAATTATACATATGGTTACATCAAAGATGAATTTCTCCCCTTCCTTTGGGGAACCAACTACAAACCTTATGCAGATGAATTGCATGAGGATCATGCATCAAATTGTTGAAAAGTATGTGCAAATATCATGCATGTTAACAGCTGCGTTTTGGTGTAAAGTTTTGTTAAGAAATCACCAATTTTCACTGAGTTTCATCATTTATTGAACCCATGACAATAATCTTTCCAATGTTACGAATTTGTTTTACAATCCATCAGTTCATGTGTAAACAGTACCCTTAAACAGTATGGAATATTTTACAAAATCTAGTTTAGAACAGTTGCCTGAAGTAAGAGGCTACATTTACACTAGTGAGTCTAAACCTTTGATGGGTAGTATATATGGGAGTAATAGTAAAAGGATTCTGCTTAGATTATTTCAATACAGTTATGCGGTATGATACAATATTAGGTGAGGTTTGGTGAGGTCTGGTTAGGCGGGGTGAGGTTTAGTGAGTGAGGTGAGGTGAGGTGAATATGGGATTTGTTCGCGTTGATTATCATTGCACTCATATAGCGACGCACATTCGATTTGCGGGCGTGTACGCGCGAGCGCGTGTGTGCATGCATGCATGGGCGTTCTTGTGAACGCACATGCATGTTTGTGTGTCGCTGCTGTTACTTGTCCAAAACAATGTCCGTTCTACAGTGGGGCGGTGGGTAGCGTAGTGGTTAAAGCGTTCGCCCGTCACACCGAAAACCCGAGTTCGATTTCACACTTGGGTGCAATATGTAAACCACTTCTGGTGTTCCCCGCCGTGATATTGTTTGAATATTGCTTAGAAAAACTGCCGTAAACTAAATTCACTCTATCTGTTCTACAGTGCTACAATACCCCACTCAATATGCTGGACCGCCTCCGTGGTGTAGTGGTTAGAGCGTCCGCTCGGAGTGCGGAAGGTCGCGGGTTCGATCCCCGACCGCGTCATACCAAAAGACGTTAGTCAGTATAATGTGTCTGAGTGGGGTATTCATGCTTCACTGCGGCATGGTATCTCAGTGGGCTAGCACTATAAAACCAGCTTCAGTCTGGGCTAGAACAAGCAGCCGCACATATACATACACACGCATGCACGTCGCCATATGAGCGAAATATTCTCAAGCATGACGTTAAACCCAATTCCACCACCACCAATCAATATACTGACACATTCCCTTAACGTTCCCTCTAACGCCGATCGCCACTGCAACAAGTGGCTACATCATATACCATTCCTTTGTACGGCCCGGCCAGGGATCAAACAGCAGACCTTCCACCCTATCCACTAGACCAAGTTTTACTGGGTCCAGCTTAACATGATTCACTCTACATAATAATAATTCCATTTAAATTTCTGTCACTTGAGCTAATCAGCGTACTCACTTGGTTTCGTATAATGCTCCATTTTGAATATCCACTGTTTGTAACGTACGGTATAACACCAACCAAGGTGTCGTAGAACCAGACACTGAAGTAGTGGTGTAGTGATCGGGCGTCTGTGGACGTTGTTACGGAGACACCAGCACGGTTACGCGGTGTCAGATTGCATTACTCAACTCCACCCGACAAACCACGTCCTTCTATCACTCTGATAACAAAAGGCAGATTAGAGGATACCGGGTGAGCTATCTTTATATACCCGAGTAATTGTGAAAATCAATACCCCTCTCGGGTGGCTTGTCACTTATTACGGGTATCGGACAACCCATTATACAAGTAGGGTACGTCGGGTAAAGGCCTTAACATTTTACTTGCACGAAGCTTTCATAAAGACAGTATCAAATTAGATATTTGTCTCTGGATTACGTGGCATATTGCAAATGCATTTTGTATTTATTAGATTCAACAACAATCATTCATGCTTGTATGAGCGTTTCAAAATCCTATCCCCCCACATTGTAGATATATTTTCCAACAATGCTTTAAAAATTCCCAAGACCGATCGACAACAGACAGGATCAAATTTAACAAGAAAGTTCCGCGTCACCTTATCCTAAAAAAGTGAAATCAGTACAATATGTGTATTGTCAGTTGCATTTAACTGTCATGGTTGATATATGTCTTATATGCCACTTGGGTCGATATGACCCGAGTTCGAGATTCTCATTAATCACTCACACACATACACCTCTCCTTCCTCCTCTCCAAGAGACACAAAACGTTAGTGGTATGGAATCTTGTTCAAAGCAATGTAGTTTCTTACAAGGCCTCACAATAGGACATGCAATATTCTGTTCAATAATTTATGTATTACATAAACTACTTCTTACATAACATTTGATACAAATTGTAATATTCTTGACTGGCATATTTACAAGCTTACCCACTCCTCTAAACAATACGGTGACATGCTTATCACATGAATAGTACGCAGCTATTTCGTAACATGTTATTATATTCTAGGGTTTGTTGAGAAGCTTGACATACTGCAAACCTTCAGTGAGTGAACAGAGGAAAAGTAATGTCATGGACAGCATGTAGATATTTCAAGTATGCTATTGACATAATGAAATGTATATCCCTATCTATACAGCACATATCGTCGGATCCTCACCAGGTCGGTAGGGGTGGCCCGAGGGTGGGGCCTGGGGTGTATTAACCCGTTAACAGCGACAGGGTGTGAGCTATGAGTTTGTTTGTTGTTGTTTATTGTTTAACGCTGCACTCAGCAATATTCCAGCTATATGGCAGCGGTCTATAAATAATCGAGCCTGGACCAGACAATCCAGTGATCAACAAAATGAGCATGGATTTACACAATTGGGATACGATGACATGTGTCAACCAAGTCAACGAGCCTGACCAACCGATCCCGTTAGTCGCCTGTTACGAAAAACATGGGTTGCTGAAGACCAATTTTAACCCGGATCTTCACGGGTCCTGAGCTAGGAGACATGGTATAGACCTCCTGCATATACATCACCTTACGTGTACACTCTCCCTGTGAGGCAATTGAATCTAGTATCACATTTATCTTTTCGTATGATAAGTTTCTTTCATTTTACTTGTACGACGCTTTTCGTGTTTATCATGTCTCTGGAGCGGTGGGCTAGCCTAGTAGTTAAAGTGAGTGAGTTTAGTTTTACGCCACTTTTAGCAATAATTCAGCAATATCACGACTGGGTACACCAGAAATGGGCCTCACATATTCTACTGATGTGGGCACTCGTGCCAGGGTCTTCGGCGATCGGACGCTTTAACCACTAGGCTACCGCACCGCCACTAGTGGTTAAAGCGTTCGCTCGTCACGCTGAAGTCCATTTCTGGTGTCCCTGGTCTTGATATCACCGGAATCGGCGTTAAACAGTAATGACTAACTTGGATGTTAATGACAAGATAACTGGCATCAGCTCCATCGGGCACAGGTGTTAATTTCAGTTTCGCCTCGATTGTGATCCATTATCAGCCTCAAGTCGGAACGATCAATAACTGGATTAAAATAATGTTATTGATATGTAAACCACGAATTTTATCACATAAAATGGTGCATGAAGTACAATTGATCAACGTGTAAGATTTTGTTAAAAAAAGTCTAATCCGGACCTCTGTCAATAACGAACAAAATTCACTGACTCGAATTAAGCTGATTAGTCGTATAGTACACAGTCCGTATATCAACCTTAACGGTAAGACCGGACGAAGAAGAAATTGATTAGAAACGGCCTTTAATCAGTGGTATTGATGTGAACTGATGATACGATTTGTTAGACAGACCGTAAATTCCAGTCATGGAATCAAATCTCGTTCCTACTGGTACAATATCACTGAGAAGCCCCCTGTTAAAGCCTCCTGTTTAAACATAACATGCAACTACCTCGTTCAGACAGAAAGTATTGCCTTGGAGTTGAATATCGATCAGCGCATTCCTGTGTAATCAAGGGTACCTTGAGCATATGTGTATATCCATCTGACCATCAGGGGGGGGTGATTAGCCTAATGGTGAAAGCGCTGGCTCATCACGCCGAAGACCAGGGTTCGATTCCCCACATGGGTACTTTAGAGCCCATTTCTGGTGTCCCCCGCCGTGATGTTACGGGAATATTGCTAACAGCGGCCTTAAACTAAACTCACTCACTCACTCACTCACTCACACACTATGACCATCATCTTGAGAAACAATCAAACACTCTCCAATTAATCTATCATTCTGACCAACTCTCAAGATGACCTGAATGTACCCAAACGAAACAAAACAATTTGCCCTCTGTATGACACAACCAATACTACTTTAACTTGAATCGATTACTAGTAAAGCCGGCAGATACAGGTTGACATGTTTACTGCGGTGACGGCTACCGCTGTCAGCTGTGTGGCAGCTACGGGTACCCACTCAACTCACACCTGGACGACGTAACCATGCGTTTGATCACCTGTGTGTGTTGGAGTGGGTTTACCTGCTTCACATGTGTTTTATTTCCTTCTTTATGGCCTGTATAATACAGCAGGAGGAGGTAGCTGGGTAAAGTATTCAGTGAGCTCGACATACTGCATATTTATGAGACAGTGTCGTGTGGTGGGGTTTGTTTATTGATTGCTTTGCACTCTGATAAAGGTAAATGTTTTTATACCAGAAAGAAGTCGTACTTCTGTTAGCTCATAGTATGTTGTTTTAGCTAATATTTGTTTATATAGTGAGTGAGTGAGTTTGGCTTTACGCCGCTTTTAGCAATATTGCAGCAATATCACGGCGGAGGACACCATAAATGGGCTCCACACATTGTACCCATGCAGGGATTCGAACCCGGGTCTTCGACGTGACGAGAGGACGCTTTAACCACTAGGCTACCCCACCGCCCCTGTTTATATAGTGTTATTGTAGCAGTATTATCAGTAGTAGTAGTAGCAGTATTATTATTAGTAGTAGTAGCACAAGCAGCAGCATTAGTGGTAGTAGTTGTGTGCATGTTTGTTATTTGTTGCTGCACTCAGCAATATTCCTGCTATATGGTGGCGGCCCGGACCAGGCAATCCAGTGACCAACATCATGAGCATCGATCCACCTAATCCCATGAGTCGCCTCTTACGACAGACATGTACGCGTACGGGTTGCTGAAAACCAAGTCTAACCCGGATGTTCAATGGTGAGTAGTAGTTATTGTAGTAACGGATTGTAAGGAAATTAATGTAGCAAAGTGGGTCTGGTGATTGTGCCACATATTAGCTCAACACCAGCTGAGGGCCCTTTCCCCGACGACATACGGCCCCGACTGCGCTGCTATGTCGACAACACCTTTCTGAGACTTGAAGTCGTGCAAACATTACAGCATACTGCATTGCGTAGATTGTCAGGCTGCTGTACTCGTGACAGGAAACTCCCAGTTCAGTCAAGTGATTGGAAAATGAAATTTCACATAACTGTCATGCCATTCTTGAATCTTGTCAATGTCATTAGTGCCGAAATAGACAGAGTATTTAACGACATATAGAATGGGTGTGGGGCGTGGTGGGCAAGCTGTCTAAGGCGCCAGGCTAGTGATCCAGCGAGCTTGGGGTGCCGGGATCAACCCCACCGTGACCGGGTGTAAAAGAACTTGGAGTGCAGACTCCCGTTGATATATGACCAGTTGGTGGCCACATGAATACGTGCAAACACCTAGTTGCGGGTACAGCAACGTGCAGTGAACTTGGACAAAGCACTGTGACTATGTGTCCCAGTCCATCCAGCTGTGAATGGGTACCTTGTGGCTGCTCGGGTTATATGATTTCCAGGGAGTTGAGATTGAAAATACGATGTGCCGCTGAGATCAACATCCAATGATCGAGGGAAAAAACAAAGCGCGTTTGAACAGCTGAGCTGGATATTGGTGCTAAACAAACATTAGCATGATGATGGTAGAATTTCACTCCATTTATCCGAAGGACAAATTCAAATTTGTTAGTCTGCATAGGTATAAGGCAAAGACATGTCCATGACTTCCATGGTTCTTACTTATGTTTAAGACCCGTGAAGATCCGGGTTAGAATATTGATCTTCAGTAAACCATGCTTGTCGTAAGAGGCGACTAACACGATCGGGTGGTCAGACTCACTTGGTTGACACATGTCATCGGTTCCCTATTGCGCAGATCGATGCTCATGCCATTGATCCATGGATTGTCTTGTCCAGACTCGATTATTAACAAACCGCCGACAAATGGCTGGAATATTGCAGAGTGCGGCGTAATACTAAACTCACTCACTCCTTTAAGTCAGAGCCACAAGCATGGTGGAGCCCGTAGAACAGGATCTAGGTCAACTCTAAAGATTCATTTTTTGATACAAAAAACACACAATGATGCTTTCGAGTTAGAGGTTTCACTTCGTGAGCAAACAGAAAATCTTGGGTTTTACTTTTCAGGTCCATTTCACAGATGGGAAGGACTCTACGGGGATATTGTTCCCTTAAACGCTGCCCACATGAACTCGGTGATGGGTTCGTTCAGAGAGACACCCCTTGGGAAACGTAACCTGTGCCTATTTGGTATGACGCTTCGAGTCCGAAACACTATTTTGTACCTAATTATCGAAAGACATAGAAACGGTAGTAACGCAAGACGTTACCACTAATTTCAGTGATCCATTCATTT